CGCTGTGTGTCTGCGTCACGTGTCTGCCACACGTGCGTTTGCGGTGTGACAAAGCGGGGAGCGGTAGTGTCGCGGTTTATGCGCTGCGCTACGAACCCGGCGACCCGAGTTCGATTCCCGCTCACGCCCAACACGAGTGACGGTTATCTGAATCGGTCCTGGGCCTCCCCTAGGTCGACTCGGCCTTAAACGAGTACCTGGCACGATGTGTAAAACATCGCCACTGGGGAGACAAAGGCGGCCGGGCGTGGTGTGGCCAATAACCCCTGCGTGTTGCTGAGCTCGCCTTTCATGAGTGATCACAAACAGCACTTGCACCAAGCTGTGTTTAAAACATCACTTGCACCAAGCTGTGTTTAAAACAACACTTGCACCAAGCTGTGTGTTTAAAACAGCACTTGCACCAACCAGTGTGTTTAAAACAACACTTGCACCAACCAGTGTGTTTAAAACAACACTTGCACCAAGCTGTGTGTTTAAAACAGCACTTGCACCAACCAGTGTGTTTAAAACATCACTTGCACCAAGCTGTGTGTTTAAAACAACACTTGCACCAACCAGTGTGTTTAAAACAACACTTGCACCAACCAGTGTGTTTAAAACAGCACTTGCACCAAGCTGTGTGTTTAAAACAACACTTGCACCAACCAGTGTGTTTAAAACAACACTTGCACCAACCAGTGTGTTTAAAACAGCACTTGCACCAACCAGTGTGTTTAAAACAGCACTTGCACCAACCAGTGTGTTTAAAACAACACTTGCACCAAGCTGTGTGTTTAAAACAACACTTGCACCAACCAGTGTGTTTAAAACAACACTTGCACCAACCAGTGTGTTTAAAACAACACTTGCACCAAGCTGTGTGTTTAAAACAACACTTGCACCAACCAGTGTGTTTAAAACAACACTTGCACCAACCAGTGTGTTTAAAACAGCACTTGCACCAACCAGTGTGTTTAAAACAACACTTGCACCAACCAGTGTGTTTAAAACAACACTTGCACCAACCAGTGTGTTTAAAACAGCACTTGCACCAACCAGTGTGTTTAAAACAACACTTGCACCAACCAGTGTGTTTAAAACAACACTTGCACCAACCAGTGTGTTTAAAACAACACTTGCACCAAGCTGTGTGTTTAAAACAACACTTGCACCAACCAGTGTGTTTAAAACAACACTTGCACCAACCAGTGTGTTTAAAACAGCACTTGCACCAACCAGTGTGTTTAAAACAACACTTGCACCAACCAGTGTGTTTAAAACAACACTTGCACCAACCAGTGTGTTTAAAACAGCACTTGCACCAACCAGTGTGTTTAAAACAACACTTGCACCAACCAGTGTGTTTAAAACAGCACTTGCACCAACCAGTGTGTTTAAAACAACACTTGCACCAACCAGTGTGTTTAAAACAGCACTTGCACCAACCAGTGTGTTTAAAACAGCACTTGCACCAAGCTGTGTGTTTAAAACAGCACTTGCACCAAGCTGTGTGTTTAAAACAACACTTGCACCAAGCTGTGTGTTTAAAACAACACTTGCACCAAGCTGTGTGTTTAAAACAACACTTGCACCAAGCTGTGTGTTTAAAACAACACTTGCACCAAGCTGTGTGTTTAAAACAACACTTGCACCAACCAGTGTGTTTAAAACAGCACTTGCACCAAGCTGTTTAAAACAACACTTGCACCAACCAGTGTGTTTAAAACAGCACTTGCACCAACCAGTGTGTTTAAAACAGCACTTGCACCAAGCTGTGTGTTTAAAACAGCACTTGCACCAACCAGTGTGTTTAAAACAGCACTTGCACCAAGCTGTGTGTTTAAAACAACACTTGCACCAAGCTGTGTGTTTAAAACAGCACTTGCACCAAGCTGTGTGTTTAAAACAGCACTTGCACCAACCAGTGTGTTTAAAACAGCACTTGCACCAAGCTGTGTGTTTAAACACAGCACTTGCACCAAGCTGTGTGTTTAAAACAGCACTTGCACCAAGCTGTGTGTTTAAACACAGCACTTGCACCAAGCTGTGTTTAAAAAGGCTACACAGGGGATATTTTGTATTAGGCGCGTGAGAGCGGAGCGGTATTGCAGCGGTTAACGCACTGCGCTACGAACCCGGCGACCCGACTACGAGTCCCGGGCCTCCCCTAGGTCGACTCAGCCTCAAATGAGTACCCGGTGCGATGTGTTAAACATCGCCACTGGGGAGACAAAGGCGGCTGGGCGTGGTGCTGGCTACTCACCCTCTCGCGTGCCGTGTTGGCCATCACAGGTGCTCGCTAACTGCACTTGCCCCGACAGTCTGTTACAGGCTATACAGCGGTGACAATGGTTATAATGCAGTCTCCAAACTCTTATTGTCCGCTCTCTCTGGCCTCGCTCTGTTGTTAAAGAAATGTTGCCTTTTATACGTTTCCTTTTCATAACCACAGTGTTATTGGCGAATGTGTTAAAAAAAAACTTGTGCTGATGCACCACTACCCACGTAGCATCACCAAACGCATTATTCTTTACATTTGCATGCATCGGTTGTTGTGGGCATCTGTGCGGAGCTTTGAGCGTTACCTACGCGTGGCGGGGCTTCTCCTTTCCACGTGCAGCCGAACTCTCACATTCATGGAACTGGTCAAACATCCCAAGATAGCAGAATCCTCTTGACGAAGCTTCTTGAGAATCAATTAGGCTTTGCTGGGTAAATAATATTCGTATAGCCAATGCTTCCACGGCAGCAAACAGGGGCGGCGAGCGAAGGTGAACCCGGGCAAAAGCGTCGGGTCCCCAAGTAGCTCAAACGGCCATGGATTCTTGAAAACCAGAGCAGCGCGTCAATTATAATATCAACTTCATATCTCAATACACACAACAGGCATAAGAGAATTCGTCTCTCTGTGTCGTCTGCATCCGTTGTCACCACACCTCTTTTTGTTTACCATCCCTCATCTCACTAGATCTACATCTCGTGTATATAATCTAAAATAGGAACAAAAATTGTATTGGAGGCCCCCCAAATATGCCAACACACCACGGCCAGTGAGCGCAGTAGCCCATGATGATGCTATGGCATTGCTGGTCCATACTTTATCAGTCGAGTCCTCTGCAATTTATGCGATGGAGGTGGTTGCTTTCAGAGCCATGTTGGGGTTAATGGATTTATTAAAAGCCGGAATGAGATGAAAGAGATTTCATCCCATTGAGTAGACAATACATGTACTTTACACCAACGGTGCTTAATGCAGACCTCAGTATTGGCAATGGCATATACGTACAGTACTGCATTTACCTAATTCTATTCTTGCGTATGGGGGCACTGCGTTCGGGAGCTAAACACCAATGTCCAAGGTCTGCTCGCCAAAGACGAGCGGGCTTCAGGAGAGAGAGAGAGACGCTTCGTGTAGTTTTGCTGCTCCTCCTCCATTGAAGGAGCGCAGACTACAATAAGCTACTGATACACAGTCCGTGGGTTTGTACGGCCACAATCGGCAGCGCACTGTGGCTCGGTCTTTCACTCTCCACTTTGTGAAGGAGACGTGACGGGTTGGGGAGACGCTGGTCTCCACCTGTGTTCGTGTCGCAAAAGACACAACCGATGCCGCCGCTGTCGTCTCGGCGAAATTGACGTCGTTCGTTCGAATCCAGATATGATCGGTTAGAGACAAGTGGCAAATAAAAGGGTCCCTTTTAAGGGCCAGAAAACCATCGGACGAGGTCTTTCTGAGTGAACCAACTAAACATTGACCTCATTATGATGATTCGTGGGCGAGCGGTGGCCGGGGCGGTTTGCCCACCGAGCCATGATGACCTAAGTTCGCTTCCCGGACACGGCTCACGTCAGTGGCAATTTATATCCGAACCCAACCTCCCCGACCACCTCCCTCCTCCCCCAACCGCACGTTATCAACACCAAGTATGTATAGTCAAACAAACCACCATGTATATAAATATTTATTCGAACACTTCTAGAATAATCCCCAGCGCAGGCGTTGCCGCAGTGGAATTTGGCTCCACTGCCCTCTGCTAGGTCGACTTAGCCTTCAATTTATATCTACACACAGATGCTGTACATTCCTAAAATAATAACACACACAGAGAGCGTGTGTGTATAAATAATGGGTGCGCATGAGCAATACGCTATAAAGGCATACATTATAGGCGGCTTTGTGTAACTCAAAGGGGCCGCTCGTTTGATGGAGCCCGATCAATACGGTCCCTTTCATGTGACCGGCTCCCGTCGTCGAGTAAATGGCAGCGAGCCACGTGGCCTTCGTACAAACGGAACCCACCACGCCCCCCCTCCCACCTTCGTCCGTCCGTTCGCCGCTTGTTCCGCCTGCAGGCAGGCAGACGGTGACCTCGAGGCAAGGACTCGGACCTTGCCGTAGCCCGAGGCCAAAACACTCGCGTGGAAATGTCCCTTTTATGTCGGTTTTCTGGGTATCATTAACATCAATGGTCGTCGTTCCTTATTGGATTGCAATTGTGGTTTTACCAGATTCTTAATTGATTTTTTTTTTATTTTGGGGTCAGATCGCGTAAGTAAAATGTGTCGTAATTGACACGTTTGTTCACGTGACAACTTTGTTAATTGGCCATCGGGTTGCGGGAGGGTTTACGACAGAAGTTTTACTTCCGAGATCTGATCCAAAAATCAATTCGTTCTTGTCGGTCGCGAAAACCTTTGCAGTGGTTCTCCTCCGTCGTATTGGATTGCACAGCGTCGTTCCGCGTGATGTCCGACGTTTCACTCCACGCGCTTGGGAACATTCTTCTCACTTCGGTTTATATAAGAAGCTCCGAGCACGTGGAGCGAAGCGTCCAGACGTAGTTTGGCACGACGCGAGATACGACCCGAAAACACATCGGAGAGCTGTGCAGTGCAACGGCGACGACCCGCGCGATCGTGAATTTAAATTATCACGATGGCACGAGAAACGTCAATTTTGAACCCTTGCAGATGGCAGTGCACCACCCTGTGTCACAAATGGCCTCCAGCGTGAAACCTTCACTTAGCACAATACTTTATTAAACGCGCGTTTCAATCATGAATAAATTATATCTCAAACATCAAGGTATCACAGAAACGATATGTTTAGACTGCCCTTATTAAAATGTCACAGCACTTTTAATTTGTCCAGGACAAAGGAAATTCTAGGTCAAATCTTCGAACATTGGTTAATAAAATGTAACCCCTCAACCATTTCACACATTCATTAAATGTACATTCCACTCAATTATCAATGTACAATTTCTCAAATTATATTCCAAGAAAATAAAAACTAAAAAGGCTGAATTGACAAAGTGTCCCAGAGCTCCAGGTCACGACGACAGCATGTTGAGAAAAGTGGAGCTGGGAAGGACAATGGAGTCGGCCGACCTCATGGCATCGTAACGTCATTAAGAGATCTCACCAGAATTAGTCATTGTCTATCCACTGCTTGATGAGAGCGACTACACGTCACGTGGCATGGGATCTTACTCTTCAGATACATTTACTGTACTTTCCCATGGGGGAAGCAAATACAGCGAACAATAAGGCAATAATTAAAATAAAGTTGGAAATGATCAAGAGCAATTAAAAAGATAATCAACAATTACGAAGATGATGAGGCAAATGTTAAAATCAAGTCGTCAATAATCAGGGATGATTATGAAGAAAGAACCAAGAATATGAATCCCTGCAGTCACGAAAGCTTTAAATCAAAACGATTTATGTATATTTGGCAGTGACAATTTTTTTAAAGAAAACTATGACACGTTCAAATGGCGCAGTGCAAATAATGAGCGTATTTCAATACTCAATGAACACGTTTGAGCAATTATATCGACAGTCGCAATGTAATTAGAAAACAAATACACACACACACAATCCCGAGTGGCCAATCTGGGCCGCAAATCCTTGCCTCCAGAAACCCATTGCATCCAGAAATCCACAGCTCTGGGTTGACCCCTTTTCCCCGTAATAACCAACTCATATTTTGAACATCATCAACAAGGCTCTGGAATCCAGTCATCTTAAATCCCCCGGATTGGTACAGATATGTCATTGACACTCTCGTTTTATGGGCACATTCGAAAGCTTCGCTGGACACCTTTCTCGATTACTTAAATTCACAACCTTCAGCGATCCAGTTCACCATGGAAATAGCGGAGAATGTGACCGTTTCCTTGTTGTTCTGTACGTCGAAATTCTTTCGCACCGTAGGTAGCCAACCGTGCTGATCGGGAGGTCATCACAAGCCAAGCGGTTAATTAGGTCACAGCATCTAGATCTGAAACTAAATGAAAATTCACGTCATTATCCACGACAGAAATGGCCATCGATTCACAGGGCAAATGAGAGTCTTTGACCTTGAACTTTTGGAAGAGGAAACATCGCGTGTACACTTTGCTTTCTGATGCAATGTTTACAGCAAATGTCAAGTCGACCAGGCACTTATCACCAAAAGCAGAAATTCAGGAAAAAACCCCTTAACCTTCGAGATGCATTGATTCTCCGTACTTTGCAAAAAGTCACTGACCACGTAGCCAAATGGCTCTGCAAAGTAACATCGCAGCACACTTTAACACCACGTGTAAGATATAACAATTTGCCCCTTCAGCCGAAGGCCTGGTTTACAGACGCATTCTGTAAATGCAAGTGCCCGCCAACAATATACATTGTTCCATGCCGAACGGCGACGGCAGTGGCGACGATGGCGGTGGCATCTGTCGAGGCGTCTCAGCGCCGGCTGGCGGGCGTGTGCCGTTGGCGCAGAGCCTCGTACTGGCGCAGCTCCTCCTCCGTCACCGACGGCTGCAGGGTACCGAGCGCCGCGCGGAAATCGCCATCCTCCACCACCAGCTCCGACTCCTCCGTGTCCTCTGCTGCTCGCACACGCGTGCACCACCGCCGCCGCCGCCGCGCGATCACATCCTCCCCTCGCCCCTCCTGATTTTATCGTCCTCAGAGCCGGGTTTCGTGGTCGCTTACTCGGGGGGCTCCCTTTACAAAATAGAAGCCACCTCAACGCCCTGCCTCCCGAAGGTGAGAGAAACCCCCCCCTCTTATCAAGCCACGCCCAGTGTGAAGAGGATAATGCCGATGCTGTCATTGAGCCCGGACCATCACCTCCTGTCCAGAGACTTCCTTTTGAAACGATTTTCATGTTGTCCGATTAGTCGAATAATGGGACTGAAAACACTATCTAACACGATTTTTGTCCCTGGGTAGTAAGTATTACTTTTTTATTGCTTACGCCTAAAAAGTATAGAAAATGGCTATTATTCCCCACAAACTTTGCTTTTGTGACTATTTGAATAATTGGATTACATCCCAGTTTTAAGGGTTCTGCATTTCCCCGTTTTATTTCTCTTGTGACATGTGTGTGTCGTGTTGTCATGAATAGAAGTGTTTCACACACACAAAAGACAAAAATCCCCCGCATAGCTTGAACAGGCTGTAAGTGCAATGTGCTGTTAGCTAGCACCTATGAAGGCTGCCACAGTACACGAGGGGGTGGGTGGTCAACACCATGCCTGGCCACCTTTGTCTCCGAAGTGGTGATGTTTACACCACACCAGGCACTCATTTGAGGCCGAGTCGACCTAGGAGAGGCCCAGGACCAATTAAAACATTCGGCCACCGATGTTTTTCGTGAGCGGCGGTGACATCACCACGGCGCTTTTGCCAGGGCAGGAGCACTTTGAGACCACGTGAAGTGTCAAAGGCTCGTTGACACGAGGTCACGGGGCAGACCCAGGAGCCATGGGTTGACCGACTGTGGCCCCCTACTGTGCCAACTCCCCAAACACACACTCTCACGCATACACGCACACTTCTCCCTCCCCCGTGGTGGTGGTGATGTGGGGGAGAGACCTCTCTCGATGAGCGCAATCTTTCGCTTGACGGCCGCCATCATGGCGTGCGATGCGAGTGCGTACATGTCGGCCCCCGTGAGGCACGGTGGGGCCGCCTCCACCAGGGCCTCCAGGCTCACGTCCCCGCCCAGCGTCAGCCTGGGGGTGCGGGTCAGGGAGCCCGAGGGGAGGGGTGACCACAGGGAGATTAGGGAGACGCAGGAGGGGGTAACCGGGATGATCCAATCACGAAGAAAGTGTTCACTACGTTTTTCCCCAACGGTGTCAACTCTGGGTTTGGGGGGTCGTCTGTCAACGTATACTCGACGCGAGCTCTGGTGATGTTCCCTGTGCTGAACTTGGAACGATCCTTGATATCATCCTTCCCACCACCACCGACATCTGTTGTTGAGTTCCCAAGAGGCAAGAGGAGGAGGGCACTAAACGTGCACAGTCAGGCATTTTTCGGCACTAGCATTAATTTTAACACGTCTTTGTTCGTCGTTTTAATTTTCCGTCATCTTCTCAATACATTTGAAACGCTTCAACCCTTGCATGGCATCCTTTTAACAGCGTTTGCAATGTACAGCTTTAATCGGAACGAAAGCTCTGCCGATGACAACACTAGGGATGTAGAAGTAACTCAAAAGAGAACTCACAATTCTATGCTCGCGATAAAATGTGGTACGAACCCAAACATATTTAAAGAAAAAATCTAAAGCAAAAACAGCTTTCATCACGTAGACGCAAGGGTTACCGCAATATCACTTATCACAATACAATATTAACTTTCTCGATTATCGCAATGTCAGTTTCTGGAGGACTGTGCGGGATTGCAAGAAGCAGAGTTGATAAATGGAGGCTGAGTACTCGGGTCGTATGGCTTTAAGCTCCGTATGTATGTATGTATGAATGTTGAAAGTCTTTCGCACCGTGTATAACCAACCGTGCTAATCGGAGGTGCGGGGGAAGGACAACAAACTATACGCAAAAATAAGCTCTAAAGAAATTAATTTTTCCATCGAGATGATTTAAAAGTGCACCGCGCCAGTGGCTTCCTAATTTCGGAAGAGCGTTCCAGACGGCCGCAGCAGCGCATCAATGGCTAGTCAAAAGCTGCTGCGAACTCCATCCCACTATCTTGGGCAGTCGTCCTCAAAGGTGGATGGGAAAGAAAGAGGGGAGAGGAGAGGGACTCACTTGCGGGTGACGGCACGCAACACCCGCAGCTGGGCAGCCCGATCCTCGCTCACGCCCACGTACAGCATCTTGTCGAACCTGCGGGGGCAGTGGAGGGCAGCGAGGAGCAGACAGCGGGCAGCGAGGTGAGGTGTAGGTCGGAGTTGTCAGCCAAGGGAACTCTGAGGTTGATGTTGCGCAAGCCAAAGCAGTTTGCCACTCAAATAAAAAATGGGGTGTTGTGCAGTTGATTACAGTGCTGAGCCACGGTGAAAACTCCACATTCATATGGAAGGGGCTGATTCAATCCAAATGGAGTGCTTAATCAGCCCACTTGATGTCATGTGGCACACACAGATATGCGCACAGAAGCTCTCAATCTTAATTTGACTGAACTCTCCGCACATCACGACACAAGTACACACACGTAAACAAGCTCGCTATCCTAATTCGTACGTGATGTAGAATGCGTCCCGCAACCATCAGGAGGCGCGTGCAGCTTGTAACCACTTCACGTGTTTATGAGCGGAAGCAAATTGGCAAGTTTGCAGAGGCCGGCCGTGACGGATCACGAGGGGACTCGAGTTTGAGAAACCCTGCTCCACACGGACGAACGTTCAACTCGCAATGGATATGGCACTCGCCGTTACACGTCACGCCCACGTTACGCCGTCACCTCCCGGGCCGTAGCAGCGCGGGGTCGAGCAGGTCCGGGCGGTTCGTGGCCCCGACCACAAACACGTCCCCGCTCGTGTGCATCCCGTCCAGCTCAGCCAGCAGCTGCGACACCACCCTGCAGGGTCAGAGTGCGCGAGACGGGGGCGGCCGATTGCAAGGGTGAGGGGGGTGCGGGGCGGCAAGCAGCGAGAGAGAACGGGGCAACGGGACGCGCAGTCGACGACTTCACCGCGGCGTCCGACACCCGACCCCTCGAGCCCAACCGTGACCTCTCACCTGTCCGTGACCCCTCCGGAGTCGCCGCTGCGACCCCGGTTCGGCGCCAGGGAGTCGAGCTCGTCGAAGAAAACCACGCAGGGGGCGGCAGAGCGCGCGCGAGCAAACACTGCGGGTGACACGCGGAGGACACGCGGACAGACATGGGGACGACGCCGGGAGGGCGCTTCGTGCATCAATGGAACGTGATGGCGGCTGACGAACACGGTGGCGTGCGCGGCTCGACTCACCATCGCGAACGTTCTCCTCGCTCTGGCCCACGTACATGTTTATCAGCTCCGGGCCCTTCACGCTGTCAGTGGACACGCACGCACGTGCAAAGATTCCCCGTGTAGCCTCACCAGACTGTTGGGGCAATTACTGTCAGCGAGGACCGATTAAGGTGGGCACGCCACGCAAGGTAACCCAGGTAAAGATCCAGCCCTGTAATTACCTGCTCACTCCACTGCTGGAGGAAAGGGTCCTCCAAGCGAGGGGGCTCTGCAACGCCCCTCTCGAGGGTTACGTAGCCGACTTTTCCACGTTTCCGAAAGCACAATCGGGATACAATTAAGCAAAGATAACAAAAAGGGGGGCGGGCACCTGAGGAAGGTCATGGAGCACTCGGTGGCAAGGGCCTTGGCCAGCAGCGTCTTGCCGGTGCCGGGCGGCCCGAAGAGGAGCAGCCCCGAGCGACGCAGGCCCGACCCGGAGCGCAGGCCCTGCAGCCGCCGGGGCAGCTGCACCAAGTCGAGCAGCTCTCGCTTCACGTCCGACAGCCCCCCCACGTCATCCCAGTGCACGCGCGGGATCTGCGTGACGCACGCGGGGTGACACATCTATCGTGTTTGCCGAGCACAGAAGCCCCCCCCCCCCCCCCCCCGCGAAGGGGCGCCGAAAACGCCAAGCGGCCGGCAACAAACGGCACCGTTGAAACCGAGCACGTAGGTTTTCGCACGTGCGTCGATACGGGCGCAAGGGCCGGGTACTTAGTGGCGGATGGCGGCGGTCGTTGTGGAATGCACGCACGTACGTTGAACTTCTTTCGCACCGTAAGTCAGCTCATCGGAGGTCGTGATTGTGAGCGCGAGCACCACCGTGGCATTGGTTTTCGCCGACATCTCGACTCTCTCGCGGAGCCCGCTCACCTCGGGCGCCCCCACGGCGTGCGCGTGCTTGGCCTGCAGCTCGTCGAGCGCGGAGGAGAAGTCGTCCGCGGTGACGCACACGCCCAGCTCGCACAGCGCTCGCTCCTCCTCCGGGCTGAGGAACCCATGCTCGGAGCTGCGGGGAGACGGGATGGGAGGCAGTGTCGGTGGCAAGTGCAGGGAGACGGGTGGGGAGGCGTAGGCCGGTCGGCGGTGGTGTCGGGAGGTCCCACGCTGAGTGGCCCACTGGGGGAATTGTGCGGAGACGTTTTTGTACTGTTTGTTGTTGTAACGTTCTGTGAAAAAGAGCTTCATAGGTCATCGGATTCCTCCAGCATAAATATTCCGATTCGGTAGCAGTCCACAAACAGCCCAGGATTGACCGAGATGCAGTCGCATGGCCCGGACCTGTGTGCCCATTCTTGGCGAGTAGTTATGAGATTCCATGGGCTCCACCCTTCCAACTCACAGCTAGAATCTCTCTCCCCTGCCATCCTCGGGCCACAGGGTTGGCGGTCGTCACACGGCATGAAACAAACAAAGTTAGTTTGAAACAACAACAACAACAACAGCAGCAGCGTTCAACGCTCCAGCGTGCATGCGCGCGGCACAATCGTCTCTCACCACGCCTGCGCTACCCTGGCATAGGCCGCTCGGCACGCCCCGGAGAGCAGCGCGCAGAGGTCTCCCAGCACGAAGCCCTGCGGCAGACGGGGGCGGCACACGAAAGCACCGATCGATTCGACAGTGAACGTCAAGTCGTCCACTCGCGATACGTGTCGGCACGCGAGATTGCTTACAATTTACGTGCAAGAAGTGAAAATGTTGAGTTTATGTGAGAGTTGTGTGAAATAGGTTGCCTTTCAGGTTATTGCACCGTACAGACAGAACGATGGGGCAGATAGTACAATCGAGACAGTACCAAGAGTACTGGACAGTCCAGTGACGATTATGTGAACCGGTCTCGTGCCGCCTTCCCCTCGGGTCCAGCGACTTTGGGATGACTGCCTTGGGCCCCGGGCTTTGGGGGGCCTCATGCTTTGACGTCACGGTGTCAGTTAAGTTTGAAGGCGTCGGAGGACCCACATGGTGCGATTCGTCCCGGGCCCCGCACTCCCCTATGGGCGGCCCTGCGTTTGTACGTAGGCATGCACATGCCCCCGCACTCATTGTGTACGTGGTCCCCACCCGCGTGTACGCGTGTACGCGTGTACGCGTGTACGCGTGTACGCGTGTAGGTGCGTGCGTGCGTGCGGTCGTTGCGGACACTGACGGCTGTGTGCTGGGCGAGGCGAGCGAGCGAGACGTCGGGCCCGAGCGGCGAGGCGTGCGCGAGCGCCTGCAGGATGGCGGCGCGGGACCCCTCATCGGGGCGGTCCACACGCAGCTCGTGCAGAAAGCAACTCTGCACGCCGGGCGCGACACTCTGCCGTGACACCGCCGTGCCCAGCACCAGCACCGGCAGGCGGCTGCGCACGCCGCACACAGGAGACAACGATCCCCCGTGAAGTCTTTAAAGTGCCGGTCAGGGCAGGTGCTGTTTGCGAGCGCCCGGGAAGCGGCAGCCGGCGCACCCTTTGTCTCCCGAGTGCCGATGCTTACGCACTGCCGCACGGGGCACTCATTTAAGGCTGGGTTCGCAGTCGGGTCGGGCAAGGCCCGGTTCAGATATTCTCCACTGTTATTGGTCGTGAGCGGGAATCGAATTCAGTCGGGGTTAGTGAGGAGCCGGTATATGTTAGTGTGGATCTAGTAGGGGTTAGTGTGGAGCTAAGCAGGGTTAGTGTGGAGCCAGCAGCGGTTAGTGAGGATCCAGTAGAGAGCAGAGATCGCTGCCGAGTGGTGGCAGGCCGCGCGTACCCGGCTTCTCGCTGCCGCTCCCACAGCAGCTGGCGCAGGGTGTGCGTGACTCGCGCGTCCTCTTTGCCCCCTGAGTCGCGACCCAGGGGTTCCACCCCCTTGACGAGCAGAACGCACGGCGCCAGTGCGGCGGCACGCGAGAAGGCCGAGCGCAGGCGAGCCTCGGCCGCCGCCGCCGTTTCCCTGCAGAGCGACGCTCCGCTCATCTGGTGCGCGACGACAAAGAGCGTCATACATCACACACTATGCAGGTATCACACACACACACACCACATAGACACCACACACACGTACCACAAGCACCACACACACACCACATAGACACCACACACAAGTACCACAAGCACCACACACACACCACATAGACACCACACACACGTACCACAAGCACCACACACACACCACATAGACACCACACACACGTACCACAAGCACCACACACACACCACATAGACACCACACACACGTACCACAAGCACCACACACACACCACATAGACACCACACACACGTACCACAAGCACCACACACACACCACATAGACACCACACACACGTACCACACACACACCACATAGACACCACACACACATACAAGCACCACACACACACCACATAGACACCACACACACGTACCACAAGCACCACACACACACCACATAAACACCACACACACATACAGTGAGGGAAAAAAGTATTTGATCCCCTGCTGATTTTGTACGTTTGCCCACTGACAAAAAAATGATCAGTCTATAATTTTAATGGTAGGTTTATTTGAACAGTGAGAGACAGAATAACATCAATTTATAACATTTTTGACATGCGTTTTTCTGGATTTTTTTGTTGTTATTCTGTCTCTCACTGTTCAAATAAACCTACCATTAAAATTATAGACTAATCATTTCTTTGTCAGTGGGCAAACGTACAAAATCAGCAGGGGATCAAATACTTTTTTCCCTCACTGTACCACAAGCACCACACACACACCACATAGACACCACACACACATACAAGCACCACACACACACCACATAGATACCACACACACATACAAGCACCACACACACACACCACATAGACACCACACACACGTACCACAAGCACCACACACACACCACATAGACACACATACAAGCACCACACACACACCACATAGACACCACACACACGTACCACAAGCACCACAAACACACCACGTAGACACCACACACACGTACCACAAGCACCACACACACACACCACAGACACATACCACCCCCACACACAAGACGCACGATAATTCGCTACCCGGCGATTAAATGAATTAGCGAACACGTCAAGCACACCCTATCTGGCCAGCAGAAGCGGCGGCACTGTGGGTGTGCAACGGTGGGGGGGGGGGCACGTCCTCTGACCTGCGCGAGGTGCAGGTTGAGCCGGCGGCAGACAGCGCGCACCACCACCGTCTTGCCTGCCCCGCTGGGCCCGCACAGCAGCACCGAGCACTGGCCATCCAGCAGCGCGGCGCTGAGGGACACGGGCGCACACACACTCTCGCACGTGTACGCCCCGTGCGTTGCGTTTTTTCGCGCATTTCAATGGGACCCAGGCCCCCCCCTGCCCAGAAGATGCCCTGGGCTTTATTGGTGCTGCCCTGGGTGGCTCTGGGGCTCGTTGTTGGTGGGAGGGAGGCAGGAGGGGGGCACTGATTTACTCAGGAAAATCTCGCTGAGTTTCATGACTAATTTTCAGTAATTTTCAGGTAATTTTTTTCAAATTTGGCAAATTTTGACCATGGTGCCAGCACACAATGACCTACCCTTGCAAATGACGTCGCAGGATCTTTACCATCCACTTTGAAGAAGGCAGCGTGTATTTTTACTGTTCACACATCCGTAGTATTAATCGGGGCGGCCACTGGATTTGAATCGTCAAGTGGTGAGAACGCGCTAGGGCTAGGTCGTAACACAGCGCGATAATTTTATTTACGCAAACTACATGCGAATGATACACTAATGTTAGATTTTGGCTCGTGGAATGAATCATTCTCTTGTTAAGCACATGACGGGTTCACAAAATTCACAAGTGTGAATGCATATTCTTAGCTCTTTCGGTAAAGTCACGTTGAAGGGAAACAATAAAATAATAATATATATAAAACAATAAAAATTCTCACGACGTTTCGACCATAACACAAACGGTCATTATCAGGTCATCAACACCTGATGATGACCGTTTGTGCTATGGTCGAAACGTCGTGAGAATTTTTATTGTTTTATATATTTTATTATTTTATTGTTTCCCTTCAACGTGACTTTACCAAAAGAGCTAAGAATATGAATTACTGCAGTCACGAAAGCTTTAAATCAAAATTTAAGTGTGAATGCGTTTGCGGAGGATGCAAACTATGAAATTCATTACTCTCTGTGAAGTATAAACTGATGACGATTATTGAGTGCTGGTCACTTACAGGCATGGGTTTTTTTGGCTTCAACCCCCACCCTCCCCCCCCCCAATATGACAAGAAATGGACAAAACATGAATTTAGCCAAACAGCCCGAGTAGGTACCCTCCTGGGAAAGTCTTTTAATTCAATGAGATGTCCCTGGGCAGATGTCCAGTGTATTGTCTACATTGAACAATTAGACCAGAATAGCTCCGCAAAAACCCATACAAACACTGGACCCTGTTCAACAATGCACAGTGCAGGGCGTACAGGACATTCCTCCCGGTGTTGGCCATGCACATTAAGTATGGGGTGAAGTGGTGGCGCCCTGGTTAGTGCACTCCACTATGAACCCAACGACCTCGAGTCACAGTCACGGTGCGTGGTCGATGAACTGGTTCCGCGAAAACATTTCACCAACGTGCACTGACCGACAAAGTGAAGTACGGTCAAACTGACACGGTGCGGGGATGCCTTCATCCAGCAATGGATCGACAAAAGAGATGCAAAAAAAGTACAAGCACACACACGACGTGTGCTGGAAAATTCAAGAACAAAATTCTCAATTCGCACCTTGGTGCCACCCTCCGCAGGCTGCACTTTGTTAATTTGCCGAGTGCAGCCCGCAGTCAAGTGCGTATAACGCACCGGGCTTCTTGGTCAGATTGATAATGATATAATTTAACTGTCCACTTTGTTCCCCCTTCCACTCCCCCTCGATTGGCTCTTTGTCCACTGCGGGAGAAATCTCTGATAATGACCGCGAGATCCTCTCTGAAGTCGACGCGTCTGGCTCATTGGTTTAAAAAAAAATATCTCAGGTGTCCATAACCAGCGCCACGTGCACGCGAATGGTGTTGTCATATGTCACCTGAACAAGACAAGCGGAGCAGGTGGTGGGGGTGGACACCGACCTGCTGCTGGAGACGTAGGGGAGTGCCACGACGGTCAGCTCGTCCACGGCGGACGTCAGCCCCGGTGGGCAGTCGCTGTCCCAGAGCGGGTGACCCCCATCAGTGGCCACAGCTCCTTCCAACCGTACCGGCGCAAACGCGTTCACAGACCCTTCCTGGTCACGAAGGCGGGATTAGTTCATTGGGTATAGGCCAGGCATGTTAATGATTACAAACTCAATGCATTCTCGAATTGTACAGGGTCTAAATGCCACCGCATGTCAAGGCCATGAGCATAAAAGAGTGTGCGGATGTATTTTGTAGAGAGAGGCAGTCAATAAAAGGGAGAGCGAAAGAGAAAAGTACGATTCACTCCCCTAGCGATCACATTAAAATGTCAGGATTTTGGGTGGAGAATCCAATACAAAAATGTATTCTCTTTGGGGGTTTATTGCAGCCTCGTTTGAATTGTTTCTCACTTGACCTAATTTGAACTGTTTTATCCGCTCATCAGCTTAAATGTAACCTGAGTATGATTTGCATAAAATTAGCATACATTTAAAATAATCAATTATCTTATATACATATTCTGAGCAAAGGAATCTATTGTAATTGACAAGCAGCAGTCATGACATGCCTCCTATGTGTACACACACACACAACAGACAAAGATCCGCGTACAGACCCACAAACTGCTGGGGCAAGTGCTGTTAGTGAGCACCTATGAAAGCCGATACAACAAACGAGGGAATGGTGTGGCTAGTATTGTTTGGCCACAAAGGTGGCCGGGCATAATTTGACACACCACCCCAGGCACTTATATAAGGATAAGTCAACCTCGGGGAGGTCACAACAGGTTCAGATGCCACTTTCCACTCACGTTAGCCCTGGCCGAGAAACCAACTTAGTGTGAGATGCTGTACCACAAGGCTCTAGTTTTCACAAGCCACGTAATTTAACTTTGGAACTTGCGTTGCCGTTCCAACGGCACGTTTCTATATTTCTTATGAACTCGAATTGGCCAGGAATTTTGGCTACAGCCTGGAATTCTCTGGACCAATTTCACTTCGCGGACAGGGTTGAATTACTTACGTCAGACTGAGACGAAAAAAAAATACTTTACATTCAATGTAAAGTTTAACTCTGTCCGCGAAGTGGTTTCTGACTCGCACATATTTCTGGAACTTGGCCACTGACATAATGGCTTGAGTAACTTGGAAAATCATGAAAAAGCTACTTTTTTGCCAACTCCAGTTGTCCTTCAACTTGAGTTCTGGGAGAAATCAGACCAAATTAGGGCAACTTGGCTCAAATCAGGTGTACTCAGACCAACTCCAGTCGACTGCAGCTGGCTGTCCCATGGAAAACTAGATATTAGTCTAACAACGGTGACACCTACCAGGTACACATTTGTGCTTTTTGTGTCCACCAAGTAGCACAAGTTTTCAGACCGATCCTGGCCTCCTGGTTGCCCCTCATCATTCTCCTTCATCCGTCCATTTTTTCCAGGCAGCTGCTTCTCGTCCTGTCGACCCTCCACCAAGTTCACACTCTTCACCTGGTAGTAGAGCACCGGCCACCTTTGGGGAGCCAATATGGGACAGAATTGAGGATGAAGCAGGCAGACGGGGAGGAAGGGTCGGAAGGCATCGTCACTTCAGCAGTATGGATGGCTCTCATCATTGCCCTTATCCCGTACTTACAAATGAAATCCAGACACATTTGAAAAAGCAATTTCATGCATTTATGGAATGTAAATGAACATTGCATTCATACAGGTGTTCCGCGATTTTCAACAATAATGACTTAATGAGTCCTGTGCATGGTGTTAAAAGAACACCACCTGGTGATGGTGTAATCTAAAGAATCGCTGCTGGGATAAACCAAGGGGAAGCCACCTCAACTTTTCTTCCTTATCTTTGACTCAAGAACTGTGGTGCAGAATGTGGGGGGTGGAGAGGGGGAGTATGATCGGATGGGATGGAGTGAGCTTGAGCCGTGGACCTGCTCCATGGGCAGAGAACTTGAATAAGAGTGAGACAAAAGGAGAAAACTGTAATCTAGACTTACCAGAGAGCCCCTTTCACCTTCTCTTCACTCAGGAAGTCAGCACTATGCCTTGTGGGGATGCACAACACATCTCCAGCCTTCACTAGACTGCACACATACACACACCCACATGGAAACACACACATCCACACACATGGGCACATACACAAGCCCACTTTGAAGACTAGCATATTAACTCACCCGAGGTGATATTGGCTACATCTGTAATGTCAATCATTTAGACCTGTGAGGTACTTAGCATTGTTTTTGTTTAAAATAATTGAATTAATTTTATCTTTAAGAATTAAAAAAAATCTAAATACGGGGAAGCCTGGTTTGTCTGCGATGATATCCAAATTACGACATCTCTTTTGCTGATTAAAACCACTCCCACAGACTTCCACCCGTTATAAATAATAAGGGAATGAGGCAAAAAAATATTCCCCCCTTGCCAATAACAAGCCACCGTTCCAAGTTCATTTGAAAAGGGACAGCACCACCCCCCCCCCCCCCCGAGCCCATTGCTCCACCGCAAAAGAATATTGACCCGTCAGCTGGCACTGGACCGAGGGATCAACTCTGATCATGGTCCTGGGTGTCACCCCGAGGGGATGCACGCGGGACACACCGGGGGGTTTCAAAGTGCTTGCGCAGGATGTTGTCGTAGTTCCCTCCGGTCTTGTACTGCGGAGACTCCACGATAGCCACACAGAGACTGCCGGCGATGGGGGGACACCCGAGGGCCGAGCGGCTGCTCGTCAAAGGGACCTCCCCTCTCAGCCTTTCCACCTAAAAAGTTCGAAAATAGACACGCAAAAGCAGACAGACGGGTTTAAAGGGAGAAGACACGTCACGATCATCACGTAAGAATAACACACCACCCAACCGATTTGGGGGTTTCAGTGTATCAGGTCTCCGCTTCTCACCGTGAAGAAGCAACCTGCAGGTTTGAGAGACGTGATCGGCCAGGGGCGAGGGCAGGCATTGAAGATCAGGCTGGGGCAGACGAGGGCTTCTTCTACCAGGCCATCATCTCCATCGTTCTGGCGGGGGTGAAGCGACAGCCTCTGCAGTTCCCGTGCGTCGACGCCAAATATCCTTGCGCAACGTCCACCTCTTTTCTCACCCGCAGGCCGGTCATCTGTCGGCACCACCACCACGGCTGCTGCTGCTTCTCCTGCTTCTTCCTCTGACACACCATCTCGCCGGTGGCCAGTCCCATCAGGATATAAAAGTGGGGAATCCTCTTCGTGGTGTCCGTCTGCCGGGCGGCTCCTGGCCACATCAGCGTCTGGTCGCTGCCAGAGCGTGACCCACTCACCGTGGAAGAGGCCCAGCCGGCCGAGGGTCTGCCTGCCGACCACCACGCACGAGTGAGAATCCACGTCCCTGTCCAGCAGTGCGGAGAGGCCGGCGTTGGGCCAGCACCTGATGGTGCGACGGGGCCCAGTGGACGCCGCGTGGCCCGGGGCATCTCCTGGCAAGGCCGTGCCGCGGGCGGTCAAATCCGCCAGGAGGCGAGCAAAGTCTGAGGCCAGCACCGGCTGCACCTCCATCGCACGCTCGAAGGCTCTGACGTCCGAGACCTCTGCTGCGCCTGTGATGTCGTGAAAGTCAATCAGTCCTGATGGAGGCGCTGCCCCATCATTACCCAAGTCATTGCCGTACGCAGTTCCTGTCCCATTCACTCGACCTGCCCTCCCATCACCAAGACCCGCGTTGGTCCCCGACTCTGCCACGTGGCCCAATTCATCTGCAAATCCTGCTCCCGCAGGACTCACCATCTGGCCAAAACCTCTTGCCCCGAACCCATCCTCCGCCACTGCCAAATTCACTCGCGTCCCCTCCTCCTCTGACCTCGACCCTGCCCCATTCCGTGCCCCTGCCCCGCTGGCCGACTCCGCCAAATGCCCCGGCCTTGCCCCTTGCCCCGGCCTTGCTCCGAGCCCTGCCCCGTCGCCCGACCCCGCCCTGCTCCCCTGGCCAGCCTCCGAGAGGTCGGCGAGAAGGAGCGACGCGTCGGGCCTCAGGGTCCCCTGCAGCACGGGGCCACAGTCAAGGACCAGGAGGTCCAGGCTGAGGGCGGCCAGCCTGGCAAGGGTCCCCGGTGTCCCCGAGGCACCGTGGTCCCCGAAGATCCCCTGAACCCCCGCGGCCACCGGGGCACCCGAGACCCCCGCTCCCCCCGATCCGCCCTCTTCCGCTTGGGCCCCTGAAACTCCCTGCCCACCCATGACCCCGTTCGCAAGCATCATCGGGAGGCAGGGGACAATGAGCGGGTCCCCTCGCCGCACCAGGATCCCCGGCGGACCCCCCGCCGCCAAAGTCCTCAGCCCGGCCGCGAAGGCCTCCCCGGAGGCCCACGAGAAGGCTGCCCTGCTCCGGGCTCCCAGCACCAGGCGCCGGACCCCCGCGGGAGACCCCCCGAGGGGAACCGCGACTGCCGCGGCCCCCGGGCGGAGGCCGTGGTGCCGGAAGAAGAGGGCCGAGGCGCGCACGTGCAGAGGGGCCGAGGGGGTCCCTGTGCCGGGCCGGTCCCCCTGGACGACGTCCCCCAGTGAGAGGGCCCCTCCGTCGTCGTCGTCGTCGAGCCACGCGTACACGAGGAGGGTGCGCTCGGGTCCCGACGTCCCGGTTGACCCCGCCGCTCCCTCTGAACCCCAGCGCATCCCCGCGAGCCCCCGCACCCGCAGGCCGAGGAAGCGGCCTTCTCCCTGCAGCAGGACCGCCTGCTTCATCTGCTGCCGCTGACGATGATGTTGTTGTTCGCGTGGCGTCTCCGGCTCTTCATCTCCCTCCTCCTCCTGCTGCTGCTGCCGGTTCTCCCGGCCGAACGCGGCCTCCCATGCCGACCGAGACACACGCACATGCAGCGCGTGGTGCTCTTGCTGATGCTGCTGCTGCTGTTGTTGTTGCTGCTTCTGCAGCTGCAGCAGAGTGGCGGCACGGGAGGCTCGCATGGCCACCGACGCCTCCGACCTCCGCCACGCCGACGCCAACCAGCGCGGTCAGCAGAGAGTCCGCGCTCTGCGGCGCCAGGAAACTTGCTCGGCTCACTTCGGAACAACAACACAGTTCGGTGGGGGGGCCTGTGGCCTGTGGCGTCGGCCACCGAAGACTGTACAATGGGGAGCGTGGTGGGGCTTGCGATGCATTCAGGGATCTCAAAGTCGCCCTCTTGCGGTGAACGGCAGGAAAGTTACAGATTGCCGGGGGGGAGGGGGGGCAGCTGCTGTTGAACTTTTGAAAGAGTCGTAGGGGTTGGGGTGGTGATGCTCAGATGTGTGTGCAGGATGGTCCAGATGTCTTGTAACACCCCACCCTCCCGACCCCCTATGGAATTGACTCCCCTGACATTCTTATCCCTTTGCGTATTCGTTTGAATACATTTGCTCAAGTGGACCTGGCAATGCTGCGTACAATTTCTCATAGGACATCGTTAATATTTAAAATAATGATATTAAAATAAAATAAATGAAAATAACTAGATTAAATCACGACGTTTCGGAGGCAACACAAGCTTCCGTCTTCAGGTGGAACAGACACAGCCAAATTAGCTGTATCAATCAATCACTTGATACAGCTAATTTTGCTGTGTCTGTTCCACCTTGATACAGCTAATTTGGCTGTCTGTTCCACCTTGATACAGCTAATTTTGCTGTGTCTGTTCCACCTGAAGACGGAAGTTTGTGTTGCCTGCGAAACGTGATTTAATTTAGTTGTTTTCATTTATTTTATTTTACCTACGTGACTTTACCGAAAAAAAACAAAGAGTATGAATCCTTGCAGTCACGAAAGCTCAAATCTAGAATGATATTAAAGTTATGTAATTTTTAAATTTTCCTACATTACATTCAACACCCATTGGTATGCAACAGTGGTAAGTTTTAGATGATTAAACAGGGGTCGCAAGACGTCTGGGCCACGCTGCACGTTGATCTGGCCTCCATCCAGATGTTTAACTTGCACTGAAAGAGTTCACATGGTGACCGTGCACATCAGTTTAACACAAGCCATCACCATCTGTCAGTCCTGTCCACATGTTTTTCAATGTTCACATCTCTGGCACCTTCCAAAGAATACCGGAAAATAATGGACTGTCACCTGATTTTAAGTCGCAACGTATTAAAAGCTAACATTGATCAGATTTTTCAGGAATAAAAGTTCAATCTTGACTTAAAGCTTTCGTGACTGCAGGAATTCATATTCATTGGGTCTTTCTGTAAGTCCACGTAGATAGAAAAAAAATATAACGACGTTTCGATCGCAACACAAGCAATCGTCATCAGGTGAAAAAATTACCGGGAGAGCTGCTGAGGCAGGATGTTATAAAGGTTTGAGATGGGTGGAGCCCAAGGGTCATAAGCGAAGTGGGCGGGGCTAGTGATGAAATTTGCATGTCAATGTAAGATCGGGTAAATCGGAGAGCTACCTCCACGACGGCGAAGTTGCAGAGGTGGCCATTGTATTGTGAGCGATTTGCATGTCAATGTAAGCTCGTAGAGCCACCGCCACATCGAGGAAAACGAGCAACGGTGGCTGTGTTAGTGAGACATTTAACCTGTTAATGTAAAGACATTTAACCTGTTAATGTAAAAACATTTAACCTGTTAATGTAAAGACATTTAACCTGTGAATATAAGACCAGAGAGTCGAAAATAACTACTAACATTGACAGGTAGGATGGAAACATCACAGCCAGTTATGACTTAAATTTGTTAATAACGTCCTTCCAATGATTGATCAGTTCGTACCCATCTTTTCGGTTGAAATTGTGTCCGTGTTTATATGTCTGGATGGCTTCATGAACGAATCTTTGCTGATAGCCAGTGGGTTTGCAGAGTACCTTCGTCTTGGAAAAATAAATTTCGTGTGCCCACAGCATTAAAACAATGATCAGCCACGGTCGAGGTATTGGTCCTACCGTGTCTCAAATCTGCCTTATGTTCACGAACACGGTCCGAGACATGTCGCTTAGTTTCCCCAATGTAACTGCTGCCGCATACACAGCTTAGTTTGTAGACGCCGGGGTATTGCATGTCAGGGATCACATCCTTCACAGAGGGGATCCGATTTCGAATTTTATGTACTGTGTTGAATCGAACCTGAATCTTGTGTTTGCTCATTATTTTGGAATTTTTTTTGGTGACCCCTGCTATGTATGGCAAGGTGATGGTTTTGATTGGGTCCTCAGATGGTTCTTTCCCAACGGTTGGGGTGATAGCTTTACGGATTGTGTAGTCTGAATATCCATTCATCTTGAGGGCCTGGTGTACGTATTTCAGTTCACTGCCTAGGTGATGATGGTCGGAAATACATCGAGCTCTATGGTGTAGAGTTTTGATGAGGAAATTATTCTGGGATGGATGGTGGTGGGAGTCAGGTTTTAGGTAGGCATCAGTATGGGTTGCTTTCCTGTAGATAGTGTCCCATTGAGCCATCTGGTCTCTTTTCGATTAAAACATCCAAGAATGGTAACTTGCCATCCTTTTCCACCTCCATGGTGAATTTTATGGCTGGTTGTATGGAATTGATGTGGTTGAAGAATTGGTCCAGAGGTGGTAGGCCATGTGGCCAGATGACGAACGTGTCATCAGCCTAGTCACCATCGACTTTGCAAACAACAAAATTATGTTTTTACCGAGTTTGGCCTATTGCAGAATGTAAGGCTTGAGGCAAAAACATTGATTTGACATGACACTTTATAGGGCTTATAAGGTGTACCCCGTGTGTAGATATAGGTGATCTACTAAAATGACTTCAGAATTATTTCTGATGTCATCTTCCAAGGCCTTTCTGAGACAGGGTGATGTACTGCTAGCTGCAGATGTCTGAATATAATTAGAAAAGCTACATGATCATGCTGGCAAGTTAGTTAAGTATACATTTGATTACAGGGTCCCAAGGCTATATCTTGACATGTGCTAGTCGGCTGGCATACATCTTAATGATGTTTCAGTAAATGCTCCTGGTATTTTGTCGTAAAACTTGCCCAGAAACTATACAGATGTGGCCATTGTTCGCAGCAATTAGTTTATGGTTGTTTTAGTTTTTGTGAAAAACATGTGAAGTGTCCTTGGACAGACTGATGAATGGACATTATTTCCTGGGCATAGAAATAAGTTTCCTTGTCATCATTATCAACTATTACAGTATCTATCTACTGCTGAATATATGACTCCCCAAGCCATCACCATCTGTCAGTCCTTCGATGCAAATATCCATCGAGCACCTGCAGCCAAACTGGTTTTATCACTCCATCTACGTGGTGGTTGTTTATTACAAACACATGACGTACAGTGAGGTAAAAAAGTATTTGATCCCCTGCTGATTTTGTACGTTTGCCCACTGACAAAGAAATGATCAGTCTATAATTTTAATGGTAGGTTTATTTGAACAGTGAGAGACAGAATAACAACAAAAAAATCCAGAAAAACGCATTTCAAAAATGTTATAAATTGATTTGCATTTTAATGAGGGAAATAAGTATTTGACCCCTCTGCAAAACATGACTTAGTACTTGGTGGCAAAACCCTTGTTGGCAATCACAGAGGTCGGACGTTTCTTGTAGCTGGCCACCAGGTTTGCACACATCTCAGGAGGGATTTTGTCCCACTCCTCTTTGCAGATCTCCTCCAAGTCATTAAGGTTTTGAGGCTGACGTTTGGCAACTCGAACCTTCAGCTCACTCCACAGATTTTCTATGGGATTAAGGTCTGGAGACTGGCTAGGCCACTCCAGGACCTTAATGTGCTTCTTCTTGAGCCACTCCTTTGTTGCCTTGGCCGTGTGTTTTGGGTCATTGTCATGCTGGAATACCCATCCACGACCCATTTTCAATGCCCTGGCTGAGGGAAGGAGGTTCTCGCCCAAGATTTGACAGTACATGGCCCTGTCCATCGTCCCTTTGATGCAGTGAAGTTGTCCTGTCCCCTTAGCAGAAAAAACACCCCCAAAGCATAATGTTTCCACCTCCATGTTTGACGGTGGGGATGGTGTTCTTGGGGTCATAGGCAGCATTCCTCCTCCTCCAAACACGGCGAGTTGAGTTGATGCCAAATAGCTCGATTTTGGTCTCATCTGACCACAACACTTTCACCCAGTTGTCCTCTGAATCATTCAGATGTTCATTGGCAAACTTCAGACGGGCATGTATATGTGCTTTCTTGAGCAGGGGGACCTTGCGGGCGCTGCAGGATTTCAGTCCTTCACGGCTGAGTGTATTACCAATTGTTTTCTTGGTGACTATGGTCCCAGCTGCCCTGAGATAATTGACAATATCCTCCCGTGTAGTTCTGGGCTGCTTCCTCACCGTTCTCATGATCACTGCAACTCCACGAGGTGAGATCTTGCATGGAGCCCCAGGCCGAGGGAGATTGAGTTCTTTTGTGTTTCTTCCATTTGCGAATAATCGCACCAACTGTTGTCACCTTCTCACCAAGCTGCTTGGCAATGGTCTTGTAGCCCATTCCAGCCTTGTGTAGGTCTACAATCTTGTCCCTGACATCCTTGGAGAGCTCTTTGGTCTTGGCCATGGTGGAGAGTTTGGAATCTGATTGATTGATTGCTTCTGTGGACAGGTTTCTTTTATACAGGTAACAAGCTGAGATTAGGAGCACTCCCTTTAAGAGTGTGCTCCTAATCTCATCTCGTTACCTGTATAAAAGACACCTGGGAGCCAGAAATCTTTCTGATTGAGAGGGGGTCAAATACTTATTTTCCTCATTAAAATGCAAATCAATTTATAACATTTTTGACATGCGTTTTTCTAGATTTTTGTTGTTATTCTGTCTCTCACTGTGCAAATAAACCTACCATTAAAATTATAGACTGATCATTTCTTTTTCAGTGGGCAAACGTACAAAATCAGCAGGGGATAAAATATTTTTTTCCTTCACTGTATCTTCTATACATAAACGCCTTTGTGATGAACGCTGCACTTCCCATAGTTTTCATGCAGGGGGCGCCTAAGTTTGAACGACGGAGGCGCACGGACAGACGTTTGAATACGTTGGAATCGATCTGCAGAGCGAGGCGATTCTCTGTCGATTCCCAGAATCGAATTGGCCCCCACCGACACGACTTTGCCATTTGTTTTGCGATAACGACAATTTCACAATCAACAAGTCGCAGGGACAGACGTTCCATTACTGTTGGTAAGCGCACAACTTTATCTTTCTATGATGAATAATATAAGATTAAACTTCTAAATGCGTCGTTCGTTTGCAAATTGTGACTTTCTCTGGCCGAAGGCAGGAAATGCTTTGTATAATTTTGTATGATTGTATAATTTTGTATGATTACTGATTGCATTGAGCCATGCATAGGTGCATAGTATATGCAGGAAGGTACAGGTAACACCCCCCAAGTATGGCCTACAGACCCAACATCACCACTGACTATTAAAATAACAAAGACAACATTGATACCTTTGGCTCCATCGTATTAGTTTCACATGACAATGACATTAACCCGCATCAATCTTCATTTGAAAACAATAAAATGCAATGTACGACGACATGTTGTATGACGGCAAACACACGACATATTTTAAAATATTTTATTATTTTTAATGATTACTGATTGCATTGTGCCATGCACACAGTATATGCAGGAAGGTACAGAGAACACCCCCAGAATGGCCTACAGACCCAACATCACCACTGAGTGTATTAAAATAACAAAGACAACATTGATACCTTTGGCTCCATCTTATCAGTTGTTTGCATTGGCTTTCACATGACAATGATACATTAGCCCGCATCAATCTTCATTTGAAAACAATAAAATGCAATGTACAACATGTTGTATGACAGCATGGCAAAAGGTGCGCGGACACTGGTTCGAATATTTACACTTTGCCAGTCCTCACACCGGCACCGGAATGATTACATTTGTTTTGGCAATGGGACAACTCCAGTCTCATTGGTCTGCATGGGGGAGAGATTGTGTATCGTTATTTAACACCAAAGGTCTGCATTGGGTCCTCTCTCGACTCCAGCGAGAACCACAATTCAATCTTGGTGAACAACAGCAGCACGTCACAGCATAAGTTCACTTTCATGTAAACAAAAATTTGATGTTATCCATTTTATATAAGCCTGTCCAATGTGTTAGCTCCATTAAGGAACTATACAACACTGTGGATGTATGTTATCCTATCGATGAAACAAATATGATTGTGAACAAAAAACCTGCAGTTACAATCCCTCGCTGTGAGCGGTGATCCAGAAGTGGTCTCCATGCCACCACGAGGCCAGCTGACATGTACATAAAAAAAATTGCTAAGTACTCAGCTTGTTTAAATAAACTATATCGGCATTAATCACAATTTTCAAATACAATTTTAATAATTTCTTCTGCTAATGTTTTTCCCCATTCAAAATACGGAAAGCATGGAAGGCAATAAAGGCTCTCAAGGCCTAAAGGCTGAACATTATGGGATCTCAAATCCACAGGAGTGTGACTTTAAATTGCACGATAAGAGCCCCCCGGTTAAATGACATGGGCCCACAGCCACATCAGCCGGACACCCACGCGCACAGCCCGGTGCCGTCGTGCAAGTAGTAGCAGTCGACACCTGCAAGTCCGCTGTAAACATCACTCGCCACCGCACCGTCGACAAAGAGATGCCCGTTTCAAGCATGCACGCGAAACGTCATATCTCAAAAGTGCCGAAATACACCACGACTGTAACAGCTTATTATTAATTACAAAAAAACACCGCTCGCCATCGTAACCTTCCACACACACGCGTTGGCAATGTTCGCCCAGTAGTCTCGTCAATGTGCTACAGTTAAACGTCCCCAGGCCATGCAAATGGGCTAAAGTGATTGGCTTGTGTATTTTTATTTATTCCAAGCTATGAGGTGAGGGTATATATTTTACTATCAAAGAACAAGCATAGCTGAATTTGGTAAAACTGAGAAAGTAAACCGACACATGTGCCTTTGTGTATCTCCCAACACTGCACAGATCATAACACGTCACCGAAACCCCAGTAATCCTCCAAAGGGAAACCTGGTCTGCAAACAAGGATGTAAAGATCATTTAAAATAAGTCCATGGCAAATATGCTGCAGACGCAAACTTAAATTACGTGCATTATCAATTAAATAATACAATAGCTGACCTGTGCTTATTTACGCTGATGCAATGCTGTCTTGTGAAGAGTCAAACTCCTAGGATCATATAATTATCTGGGATTTTGCAAAAGTAGGCAAAGCGTATGGCTCCATCTCTTGCGTGCAGATACACTGCAATAGGCAGTCTCTTCCAATGTGGTCCTCTAAGGGACATTGAATGATTTTACGCTAAATAGATTTGATTATAAAAACGAATTCTATACGGTTTGTCGTGTTATTAAAGCCAACACTCTATGGCGGTTAATAAAAGGTCTCACAAACTCGACAGTAGTTTTAAATAAAGATTCAAATATTTTCACCAAGTTTTAATTATGCCAGGAGTAAGCCAAATATTTGTATGATCCAACTGCCTATGCCAATTGACTACTGCACCTTGGCAACATCTACGCAGCAAATCTTGTAACATGTATTATCTTCCACAGGATATTACAAGCCCATCAGCCCAGCATTTGCAGCAAAAATCATCATAAACAGCTTAAATTAGCTAATCTTAACGATACCATAATTACAGCTGCGACTAGTAGTTTTTGGTTGATGCTTAGAAATAATTAAAATACCGAATGAAATCGCAAGTGCCTGTTCTTGGCAAATACATGTTTGCGAGTTATATAACCGTATACATCAGCACGTAACGTCCAATAACGCAGCCTTATATTTCTGGAACAAATATCGAGTCGTCGGTCATGATAGTGGCTTTGTTCTAAAGCTGCGCGCTTGCTACAGCACGAAGTAAAAAAACAACAACAACAACCTAGTGCTTAGCGGCGCTATTCCTGGCGCGTAAAACAATCAGTTCTAGCGCCATGAGAATTTCGATCAGGCCCCACGTGGGCACCCAGGCGTAGTCGGCGGAGCTCTCGAGCAACTCCGCGTCGCCGGGTTGCGCGTTGCTGGACCCAGGCAGGAGCAGAGCTCGCGGGCTGCCCCCTCCCAGCGCACGACACGGTGCGGTCCGTCTTGGCGAGGGTCAGCTCGTGAGGTCCAGGTTGCTGGAGCTGAGGCCCTTCGACTCCATCAGACTGTTATCCGGCTGCCAGGAACGCCACAGGGATTTGTTGTCAAAGAGAGGCGCGCAATGTAAAGATACACAAACACCCCGCTCCCCTGCCTACCGCCCCCCCCCCCCCCCTAGCAATACGACGAGAAATAATCTCGATTTCTGGTTATGATTCCATTATATAGTTCGTTTCGTGTTTTTTACCACCTCTTTTGTATGTTCTTAAATAATAAAATATATCCATTCCTAACTATATAACTCATCACTGTGTGGCCCATCAAACCCTGTCACCATCACCATCCAACTCGAATGACCATGGTTCTCACCTGGAAGGTGACCTCCACAGTGGGCAGGTTGAGAGTGTTGAGCGAGCTGGCTCTCTTCATTCTACAAAACACGACAGCTTGTGTCAACAACAATTTCCATATATATTTACGTAGCATAGATTTGCAAGTGAATCTGGAGATGCTTTACAAAATAAAATACCATTCTGGTAAATGGGGTATGAGGAGGGGAAGCAACTCCATGGCACAAGCCGGGATACAATAACTGTGGGGGGCCTCTGCCCAATAAGGGCGCCACGGTGGGTAGGAGATGTTCACTACCTCACCTGGTGTGCAGGAGGTCGCGGGATCAATCCCGACCCTGACGCCTGCATTGTTGGAGTTTGCGTGTCTATCTCGCCGTGGTCGTGTGGATGTTTCTCTGGTTTTCCGGTTTTACCCTCCACATTTAGAATAATGGATTTAGAGTATTTGGCTGCTATAAATTTCCAAATGATAAGCCACTTCGTTGAGCGATTATTTGTGGCCAGGTTGCTTCTGAAAAATATATAAATAGCTCAGTGGGCTTTTCCACATAAAATAAAAATAGGAAAAGTAGGAATAGGTAAGTCTCAGGACATTCCCAGGCGGCCAGGGCCCATTCACGAGTCAAGGGAATCAGCCAGGAGCAGAGCGGACAAACAAGATCGCACCACACACGGGCACATCCCTTAAAATGTGAAGTGTGCACACGAGCAGTGATTCTGGGGGGAGGGTATTGACTTATTTTGATAATAACTTCGTATCCTATTTTTATCTAGAAAATATTTGAGTGTCAGGACTTTGTATAGAGTCCTGCATTTGGATGTTTGGTGAAACATTTCGAGAAGCCTTTTGCAGGTATTCGGAAACAGGATTACCCACAGAAAATCCACCACAAGTGGGGGAATAACACTCATGGTTTTGCTATACAGGGTGGGTTCATGAACCCGCTCACCATAACATCCATCTGGCTACATCGCTGTCCAGTGGGTTTGGTAGTTTCACACATCTCTACGTGATCACCAAACCCTTGCCTCGAAAGTGCTTGACCACAATGTTGCATCACCATGCCCGGCTTGCTGTGCTGAAATTCCTTCGTTTGGTTTCATTCATGAGTTTTATTGTACAAGCCAGAGTTGTGGATTTCACACACATTATTCCCCCATTCGCATACGCAAACCCTTCGTGCTCACAGAACCCTGCACTCCCGAGGAGGACTTAAAATCCCATTTGCTAATGATTAAAACGCACCGGTGCGCATGCTTTTACCACCTAGTTTACTCGCTCTCTGTGTGCTCGTAATACAACCTAATCAGCAGGCAGCGAACGAGGCAAACTGAACAGATGGAAGCGTCGAGAAGGGTTTCACCCTCCAGAGGATGCCTTGGGACTCGGTGCTACCCTGGCTGCACCGGCTGTCGCTGGGGCTCGTTGTTGTTGGTGCTGGGCCCTGGTTTCTTAGTCCTGGGATGTGCCGCCGCAGCGTCGCTCCCTGTCCTATCCCTCCCTCGTCTCTCTCCTCTCCCTCGTCTGTCCTCTCCTTCCCTCGTCTGTCCTCTCCCTCCCTCGTCTGTCCTCTCCCTCATCTGTCCTCTCTCCCGTGTCTCCCTGCACCGAAGCTTTCCTCCACCACCACCCTTACCCTCATGTATTTTTTTGATATTTGTCAAGTATCTTAAGATGAGATTTATTTTCGATAGTACGTCATTAGAAAAGGTTGTTGTCGTTTAAGAGAAAGCGTAAATGTAATATTATTCAAACAATGTTTCTATTAACACCTTACTTTAATAAATTATGTTTACAATGCTCTGAATTACCGTATTATTCTTGAGTTGCAATATTAAATGTAGATTTTTTTTTATAATTTGGTAAATTTCACGCTGTCATGTTGCAAATACTCTTGAAAATTAGTTGTGAAACCCATGTGTTTTTTTGTTTAAATTAAGTATGCTATATTATAATCCTTTTTTTTTCCTTTAGAGGTGAAAATTAATCCATAAATGCTGCTTTTAATCAAAATATAGATTCAAATATAATCAGACCGAATTCGTGATTTACTCAATTAAAAAGAGGTTGTACCACATTATGTCAATTCAGTTAGTTTTTAACACTTGTCAAGTACAGTGCTTCTTCAAATTCCTAAAAATGGCATCGCAATTGTTTTAAAACACGAATGAGCTCAGAATTTTAAGAGGACGCTATAAGATGGTGACAAATGGCTGGAGGAAGTGAGAGATTTTGTCATGTTTAGGACGTATTCTACAAGAATATGAATAATACGTATTTTACAGTTTGAAAAAAAACTATAACAATGTGTGATGGTGTGGGAATTGGTGAGAAACCATGGATTAATGGAAGGCATTTGATGTCAGATGGCATGGTATGATTTGGCATGGGTTGTGGGATGGTAAGAGATGGCATGGGATGATACGATATGGCACAAGATGGTATGGGATAATTAACGATGGTATCGGATGGCATGCGATTGGTGTGGCATAGTGTGAGATGGCATGGTATGGGGATGAGATGGAATGTGATGGCGGTGTATGGTGTCGTATGGCATGGAATGGTGTGGGTATCATGGAGCATCATGGGTTGACTTTCGAAGGCATGAGTTGGCACGGGATGGCATTGGATGTCATGGGACGATGTGGAAAGGGATCGGATGGTTGCGGGAAGTTGCGAGATGACACAGCATGGGATGAGTGTGACCCAGCGCTCACCCCGAGTATTTGGGCTCGCTCCCATTGCTCTTGAGCTTGCGGACGAGCTTCTCGCTGCCTTTGCGGATCGTTTCCCGGATCTTACTGAAGGAGCCGCTGCGTCGCATGGCTCCGCTGCCGTCCTGGAAATACGAGAGCCCTTACAGCAGAAGCAGCAGAAGCACCAAGCACAGCTGCACCCACGGCACAGCGGCTTACACACACATACACTGCATGCAGTGCTTTGACATGCAGTTGTATATACTAGGTAAGGTCCTCCAAGCTATATAGCTCTTTTTCAGAAGCAACCTGGCCACAACTGATACCTCAACGAAGTGGCTTATCATGTGGACATTTATAGCAGCCAAAAACTCTTAGCGCGTGATGTTGATTCTAAATGTGGAGGAAAAAACCGGAGGACCCGGAGAAAAATACACGCGACCACGGGGAGAACATGCAAACTTCAAATATAGAGGCGTCAGAGTCGGGATCGAACCCACGACCTCCTGCATACCAGGCAAGGAAGTTAACATCTCGTCATTGCAGTGCCCCATGCTCCTCATCAGAGCTCAGGCTTCTCTCTTGTCCCCGTAGTCTGGATCTCCCATCCACCAGCCACCAGTACCGTCAATTCTCTGCTCAACAACGTATTTCCTTTTCTCTCCGCCTATGACCAACATCTATGAATACCATGGGACGTACGAGGGTCTATTTCACCACCAATAAAACAATACAGTCACATAAAAGGCCCAGCAGCAGCGCATGGACTCTACGGACCAAGATCTTTCAGTCTCATCGGGAGGATGTGACCCTGTTAAACAAATGCCGCTGGTTTGCCTGATGTTATAATCCAGAGTCCTCCAGGAACACCACTGGGGCTGTTCAGCACAGTACAGCAACATAAAAAAAAATTAAAGCCCAAATCAATGTGGTCCTCATCAAAGATTTAAAGAAGCCTACACACGTTTAAATGACCTTTCACCACATCAACAGCAATGTCCCCAACCCCATCGAGCAGCATTGAGTCTGGATAATGCTTGGATGGGTGGACCACCATGCATGACAGGCTGTCACAGGGAGCTGCCAGCTGTGCTACACGGCGATCAGCAGAGGTAACGAAGCACAATCCTTTGTTGTACTGTACGTCTGTGCTCCCCACCTTCACCTTGGTAAAGTATGTTTGCTCAATCAACCACCCTGGGGCACGTCAAGTCAAAAGGCCCACATCCAGCAGTGGATCGAGTGAAGGACGGTAAATGTACACACAGCTAAATGAGAGCCAGATGTCTCGTTGCAAGACCAGCGGTGTTTCACTTGTGTTCTAATCAGGGGCATCGATTGAATCTTTTGTTACTCGTATCTACGACCCCTGTGACACAGAACATCTCCAGGGTCGAACCGTCCAGTGCCAAACGAGCAAAATCAAGGCTGTGCTTCAATACCGGTCAATACCGTTAAAAATACTCGACATAATGTTCCGTGCAATCTAACACCACGGCGCGACGCGATGTGCAACGCGAGGATTTTCAATGGCTCAAGCTCCAGCGGCATCCAATTTTTACTGCAAAACAATATCGGGATTCTGCTGCGATGTCACAGGCGACGGGGATGAAATGTCGTCGACGGCGCTGGGGCAGTGGGCGGGGGTTGTTGGGTGGAAGTTTATTTACGACTCGGATCAATGAATCGCGACCAGGAATGACTCGGCGGGGAGCAATGTCAGCGGAAACTTCCCAATGGCGGAATACGCGACCAGTGTCGCAAGGTACACGGGCCCTGCATGCATCTGCTGGCAGTACAAGATGCTTGGCATGTAACGATTCTTATAACCGGGATACAAGCACTGCATCACGCGTAAGAATCCATTAGGATTCGTGCAAATGACATACGAAGGTTACATTAAGGTTAGTGGAGCAAATAAATTTGTTAAAATGAGATAGAAAAGATTATGATACTATCGAATCATGACCCCAAATGGTCGCAGTTAATCGAATTTCTGAGAGGGCGAACCGTTACATGGCTACAAAAACACTACTGCTCTGACAAACATCGTTGCCGACAATCAGAATTGGTTTTGGAGCTCACGGGATGCTCCGATGGGCACTACATAAGCACAGACGGGAAAATGGTGACAGAGACGTTTGGGATGGGGCACTAACGATTGGCCTCTGCGCTATTTTTTACAGCAGCAGGAGTATTTAAAACTACACTGCCACCAGAAGTCTTTATTTACAGAGCTGCACTTGTGCACAGCTGATAATTATGGGACGCTGCCATTCCTTATCACAGGGCGTTACTTTTCAATGTCGAGACCAGAGCACAGATCACGCATGTGCCTGCCCTTCAAAGTGCAGTATGGCAGGAAACTTTCGGAAGGAAAGGAGGAAGGACTCAAGGCGCGCGCACGCACGCACGCACACACACACGACATACACAAATAAGAGGGACAAAGACAGGGTGAGCCTATCGGATGAGTCTTTATTGAGTTTGAAAAGAATCAGTGGTGCAGAGTGCAGACTCGACGGCTACACAAGGCAATCGAAAGCGCCGGGATACGGGAGGGGCGGCCCGAGCCGGCTATTTACAGAGACACTCTGGAGACTCGGGGGCAACCGCTGGTCGGGGTATGCGGTGCCAATAGTCGCGTAACTATCCAGTGCGCAGAAGGTGCAACTGCATCGAGGACCAAGCATCAGGCTACGAAGAGCTGGGGGGGGGGAATTTGACAGGGAGCACCCCCTCCAGATCCCCCGACCCACCAATTGAATTCCTTGCACCCAGGCCCATGCCGACGACACTACGCCACTCTCCCAATAATTTTGGGGATTTGTTCGAAACACAACGGAACCACTGAGGATTGGGGGGGGGGAGGGGGAAGGGGTGGGGTCGATGGCTTTTCGCTGTACAAAGATAAATATTTGCCTGTCCCGGTGCTTTGCACCCAAATCCCCGAGCCAAGTGAGGGCTCGGCAAAGGTCAGAGTCAAAGCAACGCGGGTCCCAAACCCTGGGCGTCGGAAGCACGTGCGCGGGGTTGGGTTTTTATTTTCCTAATGTATCATGTTAAAAAAAATTCCCAGTGATCACAGATTTTTGTATGCAGTTCTTCCTGCTTTGAGAAATACTCGAAATTGGATCGCACTGCTCCACTTGCTGGTGCGAGATGGTGAATTCGCAGTGGATAAGTTAATCACTTTTACTGCTTTTTTTTTTACTGCTTTGAACCATTCGGAGATAGCGAAACGGTATGGCCCACAAAATAATATTTGGACGCTACCAAGTGACGAACACGACAGAATCAGACTTGCGATTACACTTTTTGTACTTTTTCCTGGGCACCTTACCCAAACAAAATAAAAAAAATTGCACTTAAAAAGTTTCTGCTTTTATCGTCGGGCCTTAAAAGTACATTCTGCTTTTACATGAAGTCACACAGAATATTTAAAATCTGAGCAACACTTGACAGCATACACACGATTAACAGTGATTCAGACATCCAGCCCACAGCTACACGGCCTTCTGCATGCAACCGAGAAAGTTCCTGGCACCGCCTTAAACGCCGTCCCTTGTCAGATGACCATGGGGTGGCGATCATCTCCATCGGCGGTGGAAATTCCATATTCCTATGACAAGTATTGATATAACCATAGAAAATACAGCTGTTGGCTTCCTTTCACCAAATATTACTCATTTTACCAATGCCCCCCTGCCCTCTCAAAGTGATGACAGTTCATGGTGATGACTTGATGACTTGTATTGCAGTCCTGTAGTTCTACCTAGGCACGAGCCAAAGGGGCAATATTTTATTTAAAAATGATCATCACTGCTAAACGTAGCACTCTTAGAAAGATCAAGTTCAGCGGGTGGCAGGTTGAATTACCTTCACGTTTGGTAGAAGCCTGCATAGTAACTGTATTCTCCAGATTATAAGACGCACTTTTTAACCCTGTATTTTAAAGCAAAACTTTTGGGTGTGTCCTATCATCCGGTAAGGGTGTGCATGTGTGACCAGATTTCTAAAACTTTATTGATGCCAAGCACAAGTTTCGGGTGTGTCTTACTTTCCAGAGCATCTTGTAATCTGGGGAATATGGCAGTAGGGGTGGAATGATGTATCGAGTCATCAACTAAAAACGATTTTTAAGTTGACAATACAATAAAAGAATCACGGTTCTAGATTCGTATATGTTGTAATGGGTTCACATTACCCCTGCAGCCACTAGAGAAGCTACTATGCACCACAATGCTTCATTATTGTTTCCCTGAATCGAACCGCAAATCTGAATCACAACCCGGAATCACGCCAGTTCATTGTATCGTCATGGGGGGGGGAACCGTTTCACCCCTGATGATATACTAATTTTCACCACGACAAACATCGCTAAATGACCGCAGTGTGGAAACATCTAACAAGGCTCATCCTCCACGAGCTTGTGAAGTCCAACTCGAAGCACGTGATATACAGGAAAAAGCCGCGCGTGTGGCTTTGCACGTCTGGCAGTGTCTCATACACGATTTCGCTTTTCAACTCGCATCGTCTGGAGCACAACTGAGTTATGGTACAGGACGCCGCGGTTTGGCTATACACGAGTACGTGAAAATAAGAAACGAAGGAAACCGCCTAATGCGGAACCGGTCAATATTTAACTCCCTACTCGTATCAAGGCATAGCGTTTATCCGAAAAACGCACGTTTTTATTATTTTTACGATCGTGGGCGGCGGTTTGCCGCGCGTTCTGTACAGGGAGGGCGTCGGGAGAGGGGGGGGAATGAAAGGCGGCGGAGGATGAGGAGTAGGAGGAGAAGATTGAGGAGGAGGCTCCTCGCATGGAGGGAGGACACGCACACACAGAGTCGGGATAGCGCGCGCTAGGCCTGTCGGGAGAGAGAAACACAGAAGAGGCAGCGGTCAGCACAGGGCGGGACCCACGGCACAGCAATTGCATGGCAGGAGAGAAATAGCTACGCTGAGATGCCCCATCTCTGGGGGGGGGGGGGGGGGGGGGTGAGGGGTAGCTGTCCCATTGTTGCCATGTCAGAATATTTCACTCCCAAGTCCAGAGGCCCTCTGTCTCTGTATTCAGTGATGTTTATAGATGTTTTTGGAAAGTTATGAGAACCCAATTCACATGATGATGATGTTCATTTCCGTATAATTTCTGTTGAAAATGCTCCAATGTCTTAATTTTCCACAGATTGCCAAGAGAAAAAAATCGCCAAGCGAACGTCTTTCAGCCATTTCATAAAGGTGGCAATGTAAGCTGGAAATAACAGTTTCATTGACCAATAAACAATATATTGTTTCCGTATACTAAGTTAGACCAATTCAACGGAATATGACAAATCAAATTTAATCCTTCAAATGAATATAAATAGATTTTTTTACAGCAACCGGAAGCGGCAAGCGGAAGCCAGCGGGGGGGGTTAGTAGCAGAGGGTAAAGGAGCCGCACGTGTGAGGCAGGCCAGGGCTTGCGGTCATTAGCGGCGTCGCTTGACGGAATAGCTTCGACTGCTACTTACCCCATTCCACTCGACGCCCATACTGACCTCCTCCCCGCCATCGCGGCCGCTCTCATACTTGACGGTGACGTTGTCGACGTTGAGGCTCTCGCGGCTCCGCCGCTTGTCCTGCTCACCATCATTCAGGATGTCAGCCACACGCGGCTGGCGGATCACGTCCACACCCTGTGGGGGGGCAGGGGGTGGCGGAGAAGGAGCGTGAATTACAATTAGTCGCACCACCTCCTCTTGCAGAATGCTGGCCTTAATATATGGCTGTTAATAGTACTTGTTCCCAGGTAGCCGGTTGGCTCAGAGGTCAGTGTACTAAGCTGGCACCACTGAGAACCTGCGGCTCGAATCCAGATTTTAGTCACCTGTGATTAAACCAAATTCTCAGGTTTTGTGAGTTGATGGTCTCAGTTAGGTCACCATTGACTGCGCGAAAAAAACCAACACATTCAATGTATTCCTGCATTGAATTTGGCTGAATTCCAGATCTGAAAACTTTTGACTGTCAGTCACGTGATGAACAGTGCTCTCATATGGCAGAGCAGGTGGGAATGTGTGGACCAAGTCACAGAGGTAGCTCTGTGGGTATTTGCTTCTGCGGGCTTTTCTCTAACACGAAGGATTGCACTGCTGTGAAAAATATCCGGATGGCTTACTTCATCTCATGACACAAAATTGATTGCACAATTGGGATAAAAATATCCTTTTTTTTTTTAAAGAAACATACATAACCAGCCAAACACAATTAACTCAAACGGAGCTTTGCGAAAATGGATGACGTGTGGGACATTTGCACTAGTTTGGCAGAATCACGCGCGGCGGCGCCGTGACGCACACTTAAAACTAATACATAATTTCAATGCCAACTACACAGGATCACAGCTTTCACAGCAAAAAACTACGAAGCGGTCAGGGAATAAAATAGCGTGGAATGCGATGCGGCGTCACGACGCAGCCGACTGGGATCTACTGGCCTGGCGTAAGCTCAGTGGGTAAATCACAGCGGAGTGACAAAGTATGTTTTTCCCTCGAAGTGTCTAATCTTGCTTAATCAGAGGTAATTATTTCAGCAGCAGTAACAATTAGCAATTAATTAGCACATGGTTCAATGCTGGGGGGGAGGGCGGCGGAGACTTACTGCCAACAGCCAGGCAGATTTTTTTTTTCATGTTCGTAGCTCGGCGCCGGCCGTAACGAGACGTTTATGCGTTGACCCGAAATGAACTTCTGCCAAATGACTCGTCTCGTCGCTTACGTTGGTGAGCGAGTGCCTGCTGAAGGAAAACTGTCACTCTTCTGATAACGGCCCACAAGAGCGGAACGGCAACAATGCCGGGTACTATTTGCTCTCCTGCTCGTCTACCTAACCCGACGTCGAAACGTAACCGCAAGCTACAGGAGGGGGCATGAGCTCTGAGCAGGCTTCTGCCTCCGTGACCAACTCAACAGTACGCGACTCCCCCAGGTCTACATTATACACGATGTGTACATACGTGTGTTGAACTTCTTTCGCACCGTACATAGCCGTGGAATCTCAAGGACTACCATTAGCAGCGGTGTACAGAATACGTGCCGAAAATGTTCGGCTTGTCACCGTTGACAGACACTCTCTTTTAACTTAAGCTCACACGCACAATCAGCCATTGTTTTGGGCCATGGTCCTTATTTACAATGAGGGCAGAGAGGGAAGGCAGAAGACTGGGTCAGAGTTGGAAACATGAAATTACGACGTGTTGTCTTCAAAAGGTACCACTGTGCAAAGCGAATTCTAAATCAAACCCTGATGGTATATGGATAGCTGTCCGTGAATGCACATTGGCTTACAACCATTTTGAAATTAACATTAATTTATTAAGATTATTATTCATGGATAATAGTAAAAGTTTATTGCCAACATACTTAATATTTAAAATAAAAAATTCACTTGTCCTCCTCCGGTGAATGGTATCGATGGTGCGTGTAACAATTCGCTCACTGAGCGGGGCGATGCATTTCCACAACTCGGAGCCATAGTTGGATAAAACAATCCATTCTTTTTCTCGACTCATCTGTCTCACCAGCGATGCGTGCCTCGTTTTATCATGTCTCCCTCGCTTACAGTCGACCTCATACGTTACCTTCTCATTTGTATTGACCGTTTCATGTGAACCGTTTGCACAAGTACACATTTGACACAGAGTCTGCATAGAATTTGCATTAATCAAAATAATATGAAGCACGGTTTAACACTTCATAGTGCTTTGGAGGACTTTGGATTGACAAAGGCCTATAAATCACTGACACGACTCGACGCACGCATCATGGTGAAACAATCGCCCTGAATCGGTGAACCCCGACTTGCTTAGTATCGGCAATAAGTTGGCAAGAACACATACCGATCTAGGGTTCAGGGATCGGGTTCAGGAGGACCAGGGTTGTCACGAGGACCGGTGCGTGAGAATTGATACACTATGCAGACCGATTCAAGCGCCACAAGAAGCAGTTGTTTACGTTGTCCTGCTGCTGGGGCGCGCGCGTGGGAGGAACGCAGGTGTGACAACAAAACAAGGGGTTAACGCTGCAACAGTAAAACTCTCACGTGACTCAAGTCTGTGCTGGTAGAGCTGAAGGAAGCGTGCTAATCGTGAGTTCTACCAGATTATTCGTGATCTGCAATTCGTCTATCGCCACCAACGCTAACGTCCAGGGTACAACTGATATTGGGAGATTGGAGGGAGTTGCGATGAGAATACTTGGGGGAAGGGGTGGGGTATTGCTGCAGGGAAGTCGAATCCCTTGTTATCAAAGTCAACGGTGAGATAACAAGCAGGCTGTGAACTCGGGGGGGGGGGGGGGGGGGGGGGGGGGTAGGGATTGGTTAGAGACAAGTAGACCGATGTGGTCACGCCGTGGTTTAAGAGCTGTAGATGAAAGAAGGATCAAGAGAATCATGGAGATGAATGAAGAGCCGAGGGGAAGAGCCCCGACAAGATGGAGAGACGAGGCTAATGAATACCTGCGTGGGAAAGGAATTGCTATGGAGGGCGTAAACAACCAGCAGCAGTAGAGAATTTGCATGCTTTGACGGCGGGATTGAGGGGTAGGGTGGCAGATAGGATATCCATCTTATTTTGTTTCACCCACGTGAGAACTTGAGAGACCAGGATGGAATCATTTGCATGCATGACCTGGGTGGCGATTGTTGTCGTGCTGCAACGATCGTATCTGCACGAGATATTTGAATGCAGGGCAAGTGGGACTGCGCGACATGTTTGAACGGCTGGGTGGGTAAGAGATAAGGATATAAGTTTGAAAAAATAGGTGAGACAAGGGATACGTTTGAATAGTGGATGAATAAGATCCACGGACGAGATGACTGAACGCAGGGGCGAGCGGGGCCCTGTGTGAATGCGGAACATTTTGAGTGCTGGGTGAGCGAGAGAAGAGAGACGATCCGCTGTGGCGTGGCCGTGCCCCGGCGGTGCGTGTACCTGGCGACGGGAGCGAGCGGCACACTCCTCTAGGGTCTCGGCCGCCTCCAGCTTGCCCTGCCGCCGGTAGAGAGCGCTGAGGTTCTTCAGCGTCGTGCCCACCGTGGGGCTGCACCACCACCACCACCACCACACAATAAACACACCGTCACGGTCACCACAATGCTGCTCCCAAAGCCACACACCAGAGTTCAGTCACTTCTGTTAGCCTCGGTTTCTTGAGCAGGCGTTGACAGGTTCGCCGGTTCTGTTATCAATACCAAAGTTTAGTCACTTCGGGCCAACTCGGCTTCTTGAGCAGCCGCCGTCACGCTAGCAATATGCGAACGTTAAGTTCAGGCTGATGAACCAACCAGGACAAGAGAGAATTAACACAAAAACAAGAGGGTGCAAAACGAGACTTAAAATAATCAATTTGTGCCCCAAATTGCGAGCCCATCGAATCGTGAGGGGGTGGAATCGAGAGACGCCATCTCACCTGTCCACCTTGCAGGCCTTGTACCAACTCCCGTACTCCCCATAGGGAGGACTCTCCTTGTGCTTGCCCTATGCACGTACACAAGGACAAGCACACACAAGTAAGGATGAGAGCACGCACGCATGCACGCAAATGCACACACTCGCACACATGTTTGCACACACAGGGCTACACACAGTAGGGCAACAAGCTCATAGACTTTTTAACGTTTCAAAAGGTTGCTATTTAACATTTATAGCAACATTATACGACATTGCAATGTGTATTTATATAGAAAGTGAATGTGGCCCACATCACGGTGCTGTATAGAAATAGCGGGTAGATTGATTTTGTAGAGGGAGAGCCAGTTATAGTGAGAGGAGAAAGGGTCTTGATTTGCTCGAGTCTGCACTTGCGAATAACATTTTTTTCCCTTCTCCCTCTGACTGACCGTCCTCTTTCTCTCCATGAAACAAACGCGCCCACCCTCCACCGTACAAGCACCTTGAAATTGCGGTCGCCTCTAGGCGCCATCTATGGCCGAGGTGTGAGGGGTAGTGAGAGGCATTGGCCAAGCGCACACCAACCTTGTCCTTGCTCTGCTCCTCCCTCTCCTCCGCGTGCATCCAGATCGGCTTGTTCTCACCTAGAGTCAGGAACGAGCTGCTGTTAGCGAGTGCCTGGCGTTCTACTCGGTGGGCGGAGCTGCAATAATTCTCCGTGCCACCACCCCACCACGAGTGCCGGATTAAGCTAGTGCGGGGCCTGTAGCATGTTATAAAAGGTCCTTAAATAAACAAAAATATATTAAAAAACTAATTTTTTACTTGCATAGTAAAGTAATTGTATTTTTTCATTTGCTATACAGCCAGATAATACGACAAATCGCTAACCTTAAACACCCAGTCGTTCATAAAAGTCGAAGGCGGTATAGTACTATAGTTATAGAGCAAGTGCAGAATCACTGAACCAGAATTGATAGCTTGTAAGCATAAAGCGGGGCCCTCGAAAGTGCGGGGTCCGTGGCATATGTAGCTACTTTTGCTACTAGGATAATCCGGCACTGCCCACCACCCCAGCTGCCACTCGCACCCACGGCGATTCGATTGAGCATCGTGATTCAGGAGTTGCGATTTGGATTCTTTTTGTTTTAACATTGCGGTCAACGTAGCAGCCGCTCGTTCTTTGATGAATGCAGTGGTCACCACCTGCCTTTTTCTTTACACTCCTGATGATGACTACGCCAATTATATTATGCATACAATTTAGGCTAAGCTGACCTAGGGGAGGTTAAAGCCAAGTTCAGACAGCAAATACTGCTGGCGTTTGGGCATCACGGCCACTGTCTATTGCCTGCTGTGCATATGAAGGAGTGACTGTCTCATTGAGTGGCAGCATCCTGCCACAGGAATGTGGAATCTCCATAACTGGCTCTGTGCCACAAACAGATATAAGCATCGCCCCGATGCTTGTTTAAGTGGAGAAAGACTTGACATGTTTTTACTTGCATGTGTAAACACACCACACACACTATGGACTAGCAATGTAATGCGACACCAATTCGTCAAATAATTTCGATCTTAAAGTTTCACAAGACAGGCATCGAATCGCACGTGTACGAATCCACATTTCTGATCTATGCAGATCATGTGCTCATGTTGTATTGAAGCTAACGAAGCAAACTAAAGTTTCTAACACGAGGTGTACAATAATATATGAAATTATACAAAAGAGATGGTAAATATTAGGTGAAACATAATAAATTATTGACTCAAAGCGTGGCCCTGAATAACGACAAATCATCCAATTCCCTTGGAGGCCAGTTAATTGTTACCCACCTCTATTTATACACTAGGTTTGCCACGATATAATTTGTCACGATACGATATCAAATATCACGATACCCACGTCTGAAAGGTTTGCAATTGTATTTTTACATTTCTTTAGCATTGTTTTTTTGTCCGTTGCTATAATAACCACTGTTACTAAATATCACCTACGAGTTCACTCAATGCAAACCTAGCACAAGTCTTGGTATTGATTGTAATCATACAATCAATAATGCTTAGAATGCACGGGCTGTAATGCAGATGCAAAGAAATAATTCAAGGTCCTTTGAAAATGATGACACCACATAACTGCCATGGCATCAATTGCTTCTGAAAATGTTTTGCAAGGCACCAATTATATGGATAATAGCTATATATTTATTAGGTTTATCATATTAAGTTCATTATTTCATTAACGATTTAATATTTAAGGAAAATGTAACAATTTTGCAAAATGTGTAAATTATATCGTAGAGTACATCATATCCCTAATGCACACACAAAGACCCCCATATAGCCTGAAAAGACTGTAGGGGCAAGTGCTGTTAGGGAGCACCTATGAAGGCCGGCACGGCATACGAGGTGGGTGGCCAGCACCACGCACGACCGCCTTTGTCTCCCCAGTGGCGATGTTAACGCACCGCACCAGGTACTCATTTGAGGCTGAGTCGACCTAGGGGAGGCTCAGGACCGGTTCAGATAATCGTCACTGGCGTTGGCCGTGAGCGGAAATCAAACCCGGGTCGCCAGGTTCATAGCGCAGGGTGGTGATGTCACCGTATGGTGCACACAGCGCGACACCATCACCACTCCCGCTGGGCCAGCAGCCATCATCTCACGAGACCGTGCAATATTCACGTTTCACACTTCCCCTGTGAATAATTAAAATTAATTCGTGCTTCCTTACAACCAAAAATTATCCACAATCTGCCAAAGCAAGTGGGTGAAATAAAATTACTTTGATGGTTAAGATTGTTCGTTAGATTGGATTTTTTTAAAAATGTAATTGGGCACGAAGCCAACGTTGTGATGTTCTTCAAGTTGTACAATTATGTTAACATTGTAACAATCGCTCAATGGGTTTACAATTTGCTTTTTTGCTCGAATGCGTGTTGTTCACATGAGTAAAAAAAGGCGTTGCTAAATTTTGAATGAATAAAACATTAAACCTCCTATTAAACCAATTATCCTCATCAAGAGCCGCATAACTATTCACGTCCACTGGGCATGTATAATGATGAGGAAAAATGAGTCAGAATTTTATAATGCATATCAGTGGAATAATTGATCCTGACTTGTAATTGGAAACCCAGTGACACTATGACGTGTGTGACTTTGATCGGAAATATGCTTTTTGGTGAAAGATTTAAACAAAAACTGATACAAACTGCAGGGTATAATGTGGCCCGGTTGTTCTTGGGGAATGAGGTCTTAGCAGCAGCACCAGCAGGCTGACCTATACAAGGCCAGGCGGTCTAGCGCTCAACACGCTCACCACAAAGTCAGTCCACCGTTTCATTTTCACCACCGCTAAACCACCAGCACCGTCATCTCTGTGGGGTAAATTATTAGAGTTCGTCGACTTCTGCTGAAAAGTTGTTTCCAAAGACCCTGCGATGGACACAACGACCTGAGAGGAGACTCTGCGCGCGAATAGTATCTTGGAAATCGCGATGGCGTTCATCTTTATTTCCGATTTTATAACAAATGTGGCTATCGGCATCATGACACGAAATAAAAGTGTCCATTTAGTAACCTTGCAGAGCAGCGTCGTCATCATGCGTATCAGATACTGGGGCTACAGAATGACATTTCATTGACTACTTCTAAGATACCTTCAAATCACCTTTTTTGCTTACTACACTCTAGGGGTGGCACACCTTCCAGTTAGCCCTGCTATAAGGAAATACTTGTTGGATCTGTACAGATTTGTGTATTCTCAAAGTTTAGCCAAATTATGTGAAAAACAAGAAGCAGGATAGATTGTTTCCGCGTCGTCATTTGTGACCAGGCAAAGACCGTCAAGGTCATTAAACCGAGTTTCATCACGGACGGCTGAATCTCACATTCGAAACCAAGATCTAAGTGATGCGACCTCAGGGATCTAAGACCAGAGACACTGGTCCACCTCTGACATCCCACGCTGACCTCGCTTGCGCAAGGTCACCTGATGGATTTGTCCGTTTTAAAAGTGTTTGTGCATTTTCCCCATGTTATCCCGATTGTGCTATTATGTTTACCGAACTATACATTTTACGTCACTTATTGTTGAGCAGTCCTTCACGACAGGGCTGAAACCATGAACTCGCAATGCGAGAAACCCCGGTTTAATCACCGATTGGAACCCAGGAATGCAGCAGTGCCAGCTCAGCGCTCTGACCTCCACCTCCTCGGTCATGTCATGAATTTTGAAGTGACGGGCATGGTCACTTGATGAAGCAAAGACGTAAGTTGGGGTAATGACAATACCATTGCCCCCCGCGCTTGCTTAGCCCAAACAATATGCGAATGTTGAGTTCAGGCTAATGAACCAACCAGGACAAGAGATAATTCATACCCGAACAAGAGGGTACAAAACGATTGCCCCATCATTTTTTGACTGCGTGTGAAATGAGAGCCGACGTCATGCGTGCGGCGGTGCACATCGAGGCCAACGCAGTTCCGGTGACGTTCGATATGCGGTCGGTGCGAAGGGATCGTACCGTCGACGGAGCCAAATTCCTTCTCGTGCGCGCGAGTCAGGATGTCTTTGTAGAGGCCCTCGGCCTCCTTGTACTTGCCCTGCTTTAGGTAGCAGGAGGCCTGTGAATGGCAGAACATGCGCACATGCATGTGCAAGAAAAGACACATGGCTATCACTGCAGCGGGAGGTAGGAGGGTGGTACAAAACGTTCAAGGAATTACCAAACACCATTGAAGTTGCAGGTACTTATACTTCGTGTTGAGTACACTCAAACAACAACATATTATCGACAAAATTATCTACACATTCTAGAAAGGTGAGCTCTTTGTTCTGCGAATGGGTGGCCGCCCGCAGTCAAAGGATGGTTTGACTCTGTTCATTTATGCTCAACAGTGGTGGGAGAAGCCACACGACCGTGAAGTGGTGCTACTCTACGATATCAGCGCAGAATGTGTAATGGCTTAAACAATGAGGACATTGTATAAAGTCTGGTGAAGATTAATAAAAGCAATGTTATGCAGACCACACAGATATCGGACACCCGTTCGTGCGCCCGATAAGTGATTTTTTTTGGTGAACAAGTGAGCGAGCGGGTTAGCCAGTGATTGTCTGTGAAAGCTAGTAAATGAAAGAATGGCAACGCAAATGAGCAAGTGAGTCAAAGAGTGAATGAGTGAGAGAATGAGCGTATGAGCAGGTGAGCGCAAATGAATGCGTGAGCAATGGGCGAGTTGTTGAGAAAATGAGTGCACAAGCAAGCCAGTGAATGATCGAATAAGCTAACAAATAAGCAATCTCGATTTAAAGCTTTCATGATTGCAAGGATTCATCTTCTTTGGTTCTTTCGGTAAAGTCACGTAAGAAAGAACCAAAGAAAATAAGCAATCATCTTAAAGTGCGAGTGAGAGAATGCGTAAATGAGAGAGTGAGCGCATGAGTGAGTAAGTGAATGAGCAGGTGAGCTTAAGAGTGTAAGGCAAGCGAGTGAGGGTGTGGAGTCCAAGTGAGTGCTTAAGCGAACAACTGAGTGCGCAACTAAGCAAGCGAGCAATGAGCGATAGTGAGTGACCGAAGGAGTGTGATGGTAAGTAAGCGCCAGGTCACCAGGTTGTTCTTGGTCTTGGCCACATTAGGGTCGTCGGGGCCCAGCTGGCTCTGGTAGATGTCGAGCGCGCGCTGGTAGTAGTGCTCCACCTCCTCGTACTTGCTCTGGTTCTGGCACAGCAGCGCCAGGTTGTTCAGCTGCTTGGCCACATCCGGATGCACTTTGCCCAGCACCTGGTGGAAGGACGACATAGCAGGAGACGCAATCATTGCGGTTGTCCGCGAGCCAACTCAAAACTTGCGCCAACACTAATTTTGATCGACTGACTGCATTGATTTGAACCAGTGGAGCGGTGATGCAGTGGGAAGCGTACTGCGCTATGAACCCGATGACCTGAGTTCAATTCCTGACCATGGCCAATAATTATAATCGGTGGTGCGTGCTATCTAAAACGGTCCCGGGCACCCACAGCTGCCATTCACCATCGTGCACTGACCAGCATGAGACGGTATGCGTCTAACGACCCGTCCCATAAAAAGTATTAGCCCATGGAGACAATAATTTTTTTTCTAAGGGAAGACCTTGATAAAAAAAAGAATTGAACAAATATCAATACCTACAATGACATAATAATAGAGAATCATAATAATAAAGCCTAATATTAACCCATTCAACTTTACTCATTTGGGATAGTCCTAAATTAAGCTGTTTGGCTACTTCCTTTCACGAGTGTTTGGCTTCATGTGGGAAGATATCAAAGAACCCGAAGAGAAAACACACTGGCATCTCCTGGCAACACCTCGCAGCCTCAAGTCCTGGTGGCGGTGGTGACCCATCCGAGTACTAACCAGCCTCAAATTCCCAGGATCCCAAAAAAAATATGGTGCGATTTTTATTCATCACAATTTATTTATGATAATAAGAGTGACCACGCACACAAGACACCATGCCTCAAGATAATGAGACACGGCTCATAAGAAATGCACGGCCCAAGGTGTGGGAAGTAAACGGGCATGGCAGGTGAGGCGCAGCCAAATAAAAACCCCGAGCCGTTTCACAGACAGCATGACACAAACATAACTCATTTCCCAACTTCTGTCGCACACCCGTGGCGCTAAATCATCTCATGAACCCCACCCTCATCTTTTATCTGCGCCGCACAAAACGCCCAGAGGCAAACTCGTCGTCGGCACGGGGTACCAACGACGGCACGGTGAGAATGTCTTTGTCGCGGATCTGGCACCGTCACCGAGATGAGCGGTGCTGTCCCTACTGTCTGCACGGGCGAACCGCCGGCACTGCCGACGTATGGAAAGGGGTGCCCCCCACGGGCATGCCGAGGCCGGGACCAGGCCAATGAAGTCAGCGAGCGAACTGCAGTCCTACTGCCCACGCCATTCCCAGTGCCGGACGCTGGATACAGCCAGAGCAGCCTCTGCTGCCTTGCTCGATTTACTCAGCCGATGTTTTTTTCTACGATTGTTCCATGAATAACGTGCAAAAAAAGATTGTGACTCTTCCCAGCTCATACCGAACCAGTATTGTGAGTACATGTCAAAATGAGAATGGTTAATTAATTTTTACAGCATGCCTGCGGCATAAACAGTGCACGACAGCGCCCACCAAACTCGAAATTGCTCTAATGCGCCAACCCTTCACTGTCGATAATAATGCTTCCTGATGCACGAAGGAAAGTTTTGCTCTCCCGTCCGAGTAACCGAATAGATACACGCGTGTTTTAAATCCGAAAATATAACTGATGCCGAGAGATGAATGAGAACTTTGTGACACTTGCACAGTCCGAAAGTTGTACAAACAAGACCGATTACTGCCAACACAAAACCGTATTGTACGTACTGCACCCTGCAAACAAGCAAGCCACTGTCAAAAACAGCACGCTACTTTGCTCAACACGAAACGCCGAGCAAAGTGGATATCCACGCAAAGTTCGTTCAACCCCTCAAGGGCCAGCACTGTGAACCCAAATCTCTTGGGTTCACAAAATACTTGTTTGCCAGAGGTAGGGAAGCATACACTTATCCCATCTGTAGCTCAATACCATCGCCCACTCTTAAATCTCATGCCATCACCCACCAATCTCACATCACACTCAGCAGCAACCAAGCAGCTGTCCTGATAAATAATCTACGTTTTGCGATCACTCCTCCTTCCACCACAACGCACAACACAACAATTATTCCCATTTGGCAGATTATCCCATACAGTACCCACAATGCCGGGCTGTGTCAGCAAAGACCAACCCTGAAGGTTAAATGGCAGGCGCGGCTCAAACCGCCCCAGAGCCCGGATCTCACCTTCTCCCGAATCTCCAGGGCCCGCTTGCAGAGCGGCTCCGCCTCCTTGTACTTGCCCCGCTTGCCGTACAGCACCGCCAGGTTGTTGAGTGTGGCGGCCACCTGGGTCAAAGGTCGCGCGATGACAGGGCAGTGCACAGATATGCATACTCGCCAAAGGCGGCATGGTATTAGATGCCCAGTAGATGTGTAGTGCCCGAATTCAATTACTTTTTCTGAAAAGTCACTATGACATTACCGATCCATACGATGATGCTCACTGGACGAGAGTGGCGATGTAAGGGTGAAAGGCAGCCAAAGGAGGCCTTCATTCAGAAGTGGATAAACAATGGCTCATGATGATGGGTGAAATTAAGATGCTTTGGTCCTACCGCCGGGTGGTCCTTGCCCAAGGTCTTCTCTCGGATGGCCAGAGCATCGTTCAGAAGGCTCGCTGCCTCTTTGTATTTGTTTTGATCCCTGCAACGGACATGGGTGACGCACTATTGGAACAACACGGAGAATTGTTTACTTTGTACGAGCATAGGAAAACGATAAGATCCCCTATTCAGATGTGGTGGGTAGGTGGATAGGTGTATGATTGAGTGAAAGATGTAAGTGAGAGGTGATTAATCGAGTGAGTGATTGAGTCAACATGCAAGTTATTGGCTGAGTGAGAGAGAAAGTGAGTGCATAAGTGTGCAATTGAGTGAGTGAGCAAATGATTGAGCAAGTAAGCGAAAGGGTTCCTGAATGAGTGAGCGACTGAGCAAGTGCACGACTAAGTGAGTGAGTGCATAACCGGATTAATAAAAAGTGAACACGTGAACAAGAGATTGAGTGAGTGAACGAGCGAGCAAGCCGTCGCGCGCGTCACCTGTAGACGAGAGCGAGGATGTTGAGCATGGTGGCCACGTCCGGGTGGTCGTGGCCGCTCGTCTTCTCCAGGTCCTCGAGCGCCTGCTTGCAGAGCGGCACGGCCACCTCGTAGCGGCCCTGCGACGCGTACTGGATCACCAGGTTGTGCAGCGTGCGCAGCCGCGCCGGGATCTCGTAGCCGCCCTGCTGCGCTGCCGCCGCCGCGCTGTTCACCGCGTTGTGGCTGGGCTGGCCTGCGCAGCCATGCCCGCAAGGAGGTAGGTGTCGGCAAGAAGACGTGGTGGGTTGAGCCGAGTACGGACAGATGCTGATAACGCGCTGCTCTGATGGCGATGATTGTGATGGTAACAAAGATGACAATAAGAATGACAATGACGGTGGTGGTGGTGATGATGATGATAATTATTGTTGTTAGGTATCGTGAAAACTATGAGGATGGTGATAATAAAGATGACAATCAGGATGATGATAATTACAGTGGTGATTACGATGATTTCTAGCAATGAAGAAAATGGTGATGACAATGGCAATAATGATGATAACAATGACGACAGTGACAATTATAATAACTATGTTGATGATAATGGCAATAATAATGATGATGATAACAATGATGCCAGTGATAATTATAATAACTATGTTGATGATAATGGCAATAATAATGATAACAATGACAACAGCGATGACAAGGATATAAAGAGCAATGGCAATGATCATTATCGGCAATGTTGATAATGATTTTAATGAAGATGATGGCATTGGTGACGAGGATTGTACCTTGCTCTTGTTCATCCTCCTCGTTGGGGAACAAGTCATCCAGAGGCTCCTTGCAGGGCTCTGACACTTTCTCCTCTTGCTGTGAAAACCAAACAGCAAACGTCAACAAGTTGTGCATGCACAAGCTCGTGCAGCGTTTCAGCGCAAAATCAACATGGCCAAAAAATACCAACCGCTCTCTGAACCGCATTGCAGTCTCTCTCAGTAAAAAGTTAAAGGAACATCATTTAAATAACCATTTGGTGCAACAAGAACACACAAGAGCCGATTCCACTATATTTTTTTATCGATTACAGGTACAGTCATAAAACTATTTCTATGGCGCAGTGATTGGCACACTGATCTGCGTTCGATTCACATCCTCGGCTAACCTCAGTGGTGAACGCCGCCAGAACTGGTCCTGGGCTCTCTTCTAGGCCAACTCAGATAACCGCGAGGCCACTTCTCCCCGACACTCATTCACATGCATCAACATACATACAAGAAAATACAATCACCCAGGCCCGGCGTCACTATATATCCACATATCCTATGAGCGCGAGGACATTCCAACTTTCAAGATTATTTTGTTTCACCAGCATCAAGTGAAAGAGCGCGGGGGAGAAGAGGTGGGGGGGAGGAGAGGAGGGGCAGAGGAAAATTAAGGGAGCAGATGAATCTGCCGAGACCCACCGAGGGCGAGATGTCGTCGTCATACTTCTTCATCTGGTTCATGAACTCCAGGTGCTTCTTCTCCTCCTCGAGCTGCGCCACGGCCTGCTCGCTGCGCTGCAGCTTCTGCTGCGTGTTGGCCAGCTCGTCGCGCAGCCACTGGTTCTCCTGGCACAGGCGCCGCACCTGCGCCCGCAGCTTCTGCTTCTCCGACTCCACTGCGTTCAGGTGGCTCGTCAGCGCCACCATCACCTTGGCAGTGGGGGGTGGTGGAAGAGGGGACCGTGAGTGTGGATGGGCCCTGACCGACAGGGGAGAGTGAGGCCGACAGGGAGGTGAGGGGGCTGACAGGGAAGATTAATTCCGCCCATAGCATGGGCTGTCCTCTCGTCCACATAAGGTAGTTTCATTGGACTATTTATGAGTACATTTGCTGACACAGCACTTACTTTTTGTCATGCAAAGGCAAATAATGGCTCATTTTAACAAGCAGAAGCAAGCAACATATGGTATATATGATGAGATCAGTGGGAGGTTGCTCACCCATTTTTGCCCAAGAGGAGAAGCAATCAGATTTGGCCTTGTTTTGTTTTACTACTGAAAAACATTGTGCCGCAACCCCTTCCGCCGACGATTATGGCCAGACCCTCGCCCATCCAAGCACTCACCTGAGCCTCTCCGAGCCCCAGGCGAATCATCTCGACGGACTTGCAGAGGATGTTGGCCTTTTCCTGCACGAGGGCACTCTCCGAGCCCTCCTTCAGGCATCCCAGCGTGTCACCGAGGCTCTGCGGGGTGCAAAGCGACACTCAGCGGCGGGCACGCCAAGGGGAATCGCGGCTGCTTTACCATCTCAGCCGGCTCCATAAAATGTAATCTCACGGAGAGAATCACTTGCGACTGGTGACAATAAGTGTGAATTTATTCTATAAATGGAAAAAAAAATATCCTTGGTTGCTCCATACATTTAACGAGTGAGGTGTGAAATCCTATAATATGCAGTTTATGCAAATAAGATTTCATACAAACATTTGACCTTAAACACGATAATTTAGCTAATTCGAATCAGCGCTGCGTGTCCCCTTTAACGTCTACAATAATCCGGTGCATGCAGGGACAGGGGAAGCTCCCGATGGAGCAGGGGGAGGGGTGAGAGGGAGGGGTGAGGGGTGAGGGGGGGCGAGGTGACAAGATAGAGGACATCTGTGAAAAAGAGCTTCATAGCCCATCTGATTCCTCCAGGATATATAAACATTCTGATAAAGATTCTGATAGCCATGGGCCCTGGTAATAATTTATAACCATTGAATCTCACCGGCTTCCCGTTAGTATTTTATAAGATAATAACGTGGGTGTCATTCAACCTGTGTGGTTGTATTCAAATTGAATGATTGCATCTTGCAGACAGGACTGCAAATCAAGGCAGAATTCTTTTTTGGTCTTCGCTTAGACGGCTCATAAAAGCTGTGTTACAGCAATGAGCCAACATCCCTGAAAGCCTGGGATTTTATAACAGTAGCCACCCATGATTTAACATTGATTTTTCTTTTTTACTTTTATTCAGCTAAGCCCAGTTGATGGGCAAAACATATAAATATGCTGGATGACTGACACACAACAAACCAACTGGTGTTGGGTGTGAAATCAATCCCTATTCTTTATCTCCACGTAAAAATAATAAATCTTTACCTCTACAGGCCCATTGGCCTTCTAGATATATTAACCAGCAGTGTTTTTTCAAGCAAGCAAAATGTGGAATGGTGGTCACATTTTGGGTCTCATCAACAGCCAAGCATGCAAAACAAATCATGCTGGTTTAATTCATCCTGACCATGCTCATGGTTAATATATGTTTAGAAGGCCAATAGGTCTTCAAGACTGTAGAGATACAGAACAAAGGCCCACTTATTTATTTAATGATGCATAATGCTCCAAGACAGCGCGTTGAGTATTTTTATACAATCATTCAAATTACTTCGGGAGCATTATTTTGACTTAATTTTTCAGGGCCGAACATTCTCTGATGCCTGCGTGGATCACAAAAGGAAGATCTTTTACCTCACATGACTTTGGCGACAGCAAAACTGCTATAAATCAGATGAAGTGTCATAATACAAATTAAAAAAAAACGCTCAACGGAGGTGTGCTCTTATTCTGGATATAAATACCTATCCACCTTGCCAGGGCCAGTGCCACCGAGATCCTTCAGTTCTGATCGGGGTTGCGGCCAGCCGTGACTAAACCGGCTTCTCGAGCGGATGGTCTGGGCCTGATCAGCAGTTACTTGGCGACGACATCTGGACTTCCCGCCTCATCACGCTGCCCATGGACTGTTCGGGAGATTCCCACATTTGAGAGTAAAAATGTGGGGGCGGCCGCAAATTATAAAGGGCCCCCCCCCCCCCCCCGAGTAATTGACCACAAAACAAATAGTAAATTATTTTTAAAATAAGTTATTACCTCAGTAGGCTTTGCCTGGTAGGATGGGGATGGTTTATAGTTTTATTTGTAGGTTTTTGGGCGATTTTTTTGCTTTCTTATACTTTGCACTACTATCGTGTTTTTGTATTGTTTGTTGTTGTAACGTTCTTAACCGCCCCTACTGGACATGTGTGAAAAAAAGAGCTTCATACCCCCATCAGATTCCTTCAGTCAAATAAATATTCTGATTTTGATTAGTCAATGAATCGACAGTCGGGCCTCTAAAAATAGATCACCCCGGACGACTGAGTGGGAGTTCAAGCGCGAGCGGTAGCAACCTGCAGGTAGGAGTCGTGCTCATGCTTGAGAGCCTCGAGGCCCTGGATGACCGTCTTGGTGCCGGAGATGATCTCTTCCTGCGAGAGGCGCTCTACCTTGCCCTCCTTCCCCTCCTTGGGGGACAGCAGCGTGGACATGGTGGTGGCCCCCCCACCCCCCGGCCGGCCTGCCCGCGTCACAAGTCACAGCCTGCGCAGGTATGGACACACGTGCACAAAAGATGAAGACAGGAATCTTGCCCCCCCCCCTCCACTGTAGAAGCGTGGAATCTCCACAACTACATCAGCGGTGTAAACAAGAGGAGAGCACAAACACTCCACTGTGACAAAGTGGAAACCACTTCTGTCTATTTTCCTTGTGAATGCATCTATAATTGGCAGCCCGTGGTTTCAAAGTCGTCATTCTACAATGACAACGGAAGATACAAACTAGGTCATCTGTAAAAACAGGATAAACAAAAACACGGTTCAAAGACTGGCAGGACAATTACGCAGTGCACATTTTAAACCGATTACTAGTTTCACTTCGTAAAGCGCCCTTAACGCGGCTTAAAACCACATGTGGCAATGGAGCGCACGCAGCTAAAGCAACTGGCCGGCTGAGCAGGATCGTAACAGACAGCTGTAGCGAAAAGTGGCTAGTTATTTATTTAGTATCTGCAGCTGCACTCTTATATTTTTTTATCATTTAATTTATTCCAGTTGTTCTATCAGCATCGTCGGGAGAAAAGGGCCCATATGAAGCGGATATTACAGAACTGTTTCTGAGATCCCTCCAAGTGACCCTTGCTATCCACACACTAGGAAATTAACTTTCCTGCGACAGAGAAAAGTTTGTCGCATGGCAACAAAACCGATATTTTGTATTTCTTAGAGCTGGAATTAATGCTAATTAAGTGGGAAAAATGTAATACATTTAATGTGATGGGTTTTATGTAGTCATTAGTTTATTGGATGAAACCATCCACTCCTCACAATTAAGATACGAGTTTAATCACGGGTGGCTGAATCCGATATCCGAACCAAACATCTCAGCAGCGACAGGCTCAGTGTCTTTGTGACCCCTGAGCCCCCTAGTCACATCGTGGCAGTGCTTTCTTATAGAACGTAAACAAGCTGTAAACAGCCCCCCCCCCCCCCCCACAGCACACCGGCGCATGGCGTAGCAATAAAATCTCCATCATCCCAACCACCGTGGAGACGCGGCCTTGCTCCTGGTCATTCCAGGCACGGCAGAGTCATAAAACAAACAGCAGCGCACGCTCGCGCACCAGACGGAGGCGCCGAGGATCGCTCGACAGCCACAATTATGCATCTGCGTTTGAGGTGACGAGAGTGCGCGCCCGCCACAAAACAGACAAACGCCTACAATAACCTTCAGACGGATGCGGGCGAATTTAGTTTATTTCGTCAGTAACGCAAAACAGCACGCGGACAATATATATGAGTGAGATTGATGCGAGGGAGGAGTTTTAAATGGAGCAATACGAAAGGGGAAGTAAAATTAATGGGTCTGCCTGCGTGGCCCATGTCGGGTGCGGTAGATGCACTGCGTGTGCATGCGAGTGTAGATCGCCGTAGCACAGACTCAGATGCTGCGCCAAGTCTCATGGCCTGACTAACACTCGGGTGCCCTCCAGGATCTATTGACACACGAGCACCAGCCTAAAACCAGCCTGGACTGATTAGTACACATTGCTAGGCACAAATTAACATCGATTCTCGAAGCTTGCACTACTTGCATACCGATGTTTTGTAATTCATATATGTTTCATATCATGGGTTTACGTCACCCACGCAGCCACGTGTTCAAAGAAGGAGAGATTCTTCAATCGCTTTCATTTAATCGCCGGGGGAGAGTGAATCACTGAAGGTCCTTCCCCACCAGCCAACACAACCGGGTGAATTGTCATGACTCTGGGTCACAACTCTTTGAATTCTATGGATATTTTTTCATAATTAGATGAATCTATATATATAGTTGTAAGTCCACTTTCCATTGTAAACAAATTAAATGTATCTTCTTTGGTTCTTTCGGTAAAGTCACGTAGAATGAGAATAAAATAATAAATTGATAAAATAAAATAACACAATAATATTCTCACGACGTTTCGGCCACAACACACTCCAGCGCTGTCCTACCAGACAGTCTCGCCCCCTTCACCTGATGAAGGCCGCTTGTGTTGTGGCCGAAACGTCGTGAGAATATTATTGTGTTATTTTATTTTATCAATTTATTATTTTATTCTCATTCTACGTGACTTTACCGAAAGAACCAAAGAAGATGAATCATTGCAGTCACGAAAGCTTTAAATCGAAAATTAAATGTATTATACCGGTATTTCTTTTTTTACCATTGTTCACGATGCTAGCCAGTGCAGCAGATTGGTGAAGAAGGGATCAGTGGTCACTCACAAACGGTGTTAGCCATCGCCAGGAATCGAACTGAGGTTGCTGACTTCATAGCACAACGTGCTCACCACTCTGACACCGCACCCCCCAAACTGTAGCCAGAACAGCAGGACCATGCTCACTGCTGCATTCATAATCTATGGAGATTAAAGTATGGGCGTTTTAGTGAGAGAGTGCTTATGATGACATGTGACAAATAATGACATTGGCTTTAGAACACACGAAATAACACCATCCATATGCACATACCACACATGGCGTAATACACATTTGTACACGTGTCAGAAATACCATGGTGCGTTATCATTTTGATATTCTACAACCGTGCTGATTTGTGGTGTTGATGGCATGTGACAAATAGTGAAACTGGCTTTTAAATCACATGCATATCCTCTCACCACGCTCATACACACACAGCTAAAAGATTCCACGTATACCCATACAAAAGACTGTCGGCGAAGAGTGCTGTTAGCGAGCACCTATTAAGACTGACGTGACTCACACAAGTTCACACAAAATCAAGGTACTTGTTTAAAGATTAGCAGACCGAGAAGAGACCTGGGACTAGTTAACATTACACTTTCTAATGATGTTAATGACAGGTAAGCAAAGCTTGGACATCAGTGTAGATCGTGCAACCACCACTCTTGCAACATTACATACACATACTCGTTGGTTCTTTCGGTAAAGTCACGTAGGTATAAAATAAAATAAACTAAATCACGACGTTTCGGGCGCAACACAAGCGTCCGTCATCAGGTGGTGACAACCACAGCAGGAAACAATTTCTATAGTGGGCAAAAGGGCTGCGGGTGACAAGAGGCTATATAGGTAAGAGAGGGGGGGGGGGAGGAGCAAGGGAGGAGAGAGAGAGGGGGGGGAAGTGGATTAGAGGACGAGCAGACAAAATGCGGGGGGGGGGAAGTGGGCGGGGCTGGGAGTGGGAGGCTGAAGAAACCGGAGATGCGGATATGAAGGCAACGCCATAAAGCAGTTAAGGTTTTAACTGCTTTATGGACTCAGCGAGGCATTCTGAACTAAATACGTTTGTTGGGCATGTATCAATTTATTGATTAAAATGAAAACTTACGCTAATGACACATGCATCGACATGTGCACGAGAGAATCGGCTATTTACAACAAATTGCATGTGAAGAATAATACGCAATTGACACATTCAGGCCACGAATGGAACCATGAATGTGACAATGCGATTGCACTTAGCTGCCACATTCACTTTCATTCATAAAACACAAATACAAACCCAGACATACACTGTACACTATGAATGGAATAAACGATTCATATCGATGTTTAAGATTCACAGTGCACGCGTAACATGGCGTGTGCGGTGTGTAGCATTCGATCTTTTTTGAGTTATGCGGATAATGTACAAATGACTCGCCAATGTTCCACTGAAGCTAACGAGCACAAAATACTTTACAATAGTTATCGAAAATAATGAGAAACAATACAAATAGCACGGTAAGGGGCCATCCATAAATGACGTCACGCACCTGGGGGGGGGGGTCAGACATTTGTGACGATGTGTGACGAGGCGGGGGGGGGGGTTGACAAATGTGACGTCACATCAAAATGCGCAACTTTAAATAAATATAGACAACACGTTCTACTTAATTAAATAGACTTTTTAATAAATGTTTTCTCCTACAACATCAGAGTGCAGCGCCACATTAAATACGCACTACAATGACAATAGTTTAAAGCGATTTGAAGCATTGTTCTTTATTTTTTGGGGGAGGGGGGGGGGGGCAGAGCTTTGTAGCGTCATATGAAAAATAACTGATCCTTGAATCGATCCACAACCATCGGGGGATTATGAATGAATTATCACACGCCTATTAACGCATGGCAGGATAAACTGTGCTAGCGTTGTCCTGTTGCCACTCAGCCATTACCATGTAGGGACAGTGGCATTTGGGTCATACGCACATGCACACAATCATCCATCTCCAAGGGACTTCGTGAATAATGTACAATATATATGCAGCATGGTAGGGGATTTCACAGCAAGACATTTCGAGGATCAGCTATTACACTCCGCGAGCCTCCAGCCAACGATGCAGACATAAATCCACTAAACTGTTCCGTAGCGAGCAGACAAAAGTCACGTCCCCTTCTGGAGCGAGTTTATCGCAGCCTATTTGCGCACAGCGACCGCCGCACGGACGGCGGGCACCCGCCTTTAAATGGTTGTCCTTTATTTAACCAGACGAGGACCAAATAGCCTTTGGTGTGTGAGTGCGTGCTTTTATTGTTAAGGGAGAGCCGTTTCACTGTAACTGCTGAAGTGTTAGGCATGGGTTAGGGGTGTAACCATGCACAGATTCGACAACTAATATTCATTCTCGAGCCTACTATTCAATAATCGAATCCCATTTGTGAGAATCGATGTTTTGATTTGTGTTGCTTGTATCGGGTTCACGGGAGCCCTGCGGCCACGAGAGGCCGCAATGTTTAATTACAATGTAAAAAAAGACATGAGCGCTTCTTGAAATGGACCGTGACCGTGATTTGCAAAGTCATGGGGGGCAGGGGGTGGGTTAACCGTTGCATGGCTGCTAGTATAGATGTGAGATTTCTAATAGTTAATTATTTTACAACTGCATGTGTGAGATCTGTCAAAATTTGGACTTATGCCATAAACACCACAACAAAAGCAGCCCCCCCTCTATGAAATTAGAAAATACAAAAAACGCAGGCTGTGTGCACTAAATATGCGCAAGTATGGTAAGGTCATCTTTGCATGCAAAGTAC